ACTCAAATATATATCAGGAAAGGGCTGGAAATGTAGAAACCTAAAATTTGGAAGACCGCGGCCATAGAGAAGATGAAAATGCTGATGTAGATGCAGAAGATGCACAGAACGCCTCGGCAACACAGACAGCACCACCTTCTTCATTGAACACTACAGCAGTGACTACTCCAGGGCACACCTTTCCGCAGGCTGCAACTACACCAAAATATAAGACGAGCAGAAAACGCTATGAACCACCATATTTACTGTACAACAGCTCATTAATTATTTTGAAGGTAAAAAACCTAAAAAAGAGAACGAGGCCATTGATTCACTTTTCTTGGCACATGCACAGACTGTGAAAACACTTCCCTTAAAGCGTCAAGCCCGAATAAAACTAAAAATAGCCGAATTAATAGCGCACGAAGAATTTGAACATATTGAAGAAATGTCTTCAGCGTCTACCCAGAATTCTGCAAGTATGTATGATAGTATTATGTCGTCCTTCCCAAGCGGCACTGGGTTTACTCCAATAATATACCCAACAGAGGAGGCAAATTCTGCCTCGAATTATTTAGCAACATTTAATCCTAGTGGCAACATGTAGTCCAATTATTACAATAAAATATTTATTTCACGATCCCTGAAGTTTTCGTATTCGATAAGCCTACTAATTTTAATACATATAATTTTTTTACCTGAGTGTAATAGCAAGTCGTTCTTCTGGCGAAATAGATTCACGATACTTTGTCAGATTTTCGTATTTCATCTTTCACCAAGTTCAATATTTCATCGAAACACTCTGGAGTCATTCTAAAATATACGTGAAAGCGCTGTTCATCCAGCCGAAGTTGTGGCATCAAGGTATGGTATTCCCCAAATTTATTTCGTTCCTAGTTAATATCATGTACCCACTTCCTTCGTTTCCTAAACAAAATTGAAAATATTTGTTTTATGTACTTCGTTAAACTTAATACATACCCAACTATCAAATGGCGTTAAATAAACATAACTTACCGTGCATTTTGTTCCTCTTCTAAAGCAAGAAATAGAAGTGCCTCCTCTTCTTCTGAAGACGAGCTCATTGCAAAAGGCAACAATAAAATGTACGCAACCTGTCGAAACCTTCACGTTCGTGGAGCGAATAAGACGCTTTGGTATGAATAAACAGGCGAAACAGATTGCGAATTTCGCTCTGAATTTCGTTGCGAATACTTCGCCGCGATTATTTCGCGCCGGTTTGTGGGATGCTTTAATCCTCAAAACTACTGAACTGAAGTACATTAATTTTATATCATTATAAAGGGAATTGAAAGACCTTTAAAATAAGGTATCACTCGATCCCCCTTTCCATTTTAGATTTTGGGGGTGGTGTCAGCTCCGCTTAGGGGGCTGCACGTGCTAACGTGATTTTTTGCCAAACTTGTGTCCCCCTCGAAAACAAAATCGACGGGTTTGAGCGTTTTTCAAAACAAAAAAACTGAGCTGTTTCGTTTTCGATGCGCCACCCTGAGAAAATATTTTTTGAGGGATCTCAAAAAAATTCTTGTGCTACCTGTTAGAATTCCATGAGAACCGTTGCCCCTAAAATTTTTCGGTTAAGAAACCCGAAAAGTAGAACCTTGAAGCCTTAGAATGCTTTTTTAATGTTTCACCGAAAACTTTTGGTATTTTCATTGTTCTCTTAATTTTTTTTTGAGTAGTTTATACAGGGTGTAAACGTTATGATAGTCATTATTTAAATGGGTAATAGAGGGGTTAAAATAAGCAAAAAGCTTCATATCACATGGGGGGCATTTTTTTAGAGAAAAGCGACTTTGAAGATGAAACTAAAATCTGACAACGCCGCAATGCCAGACGCAAATTACGACCTCCACGATTGGTATGAGGATTTTATTAGGCCGACGGATTATGGAAATTTTATATCCCGTCTCGCGTAAAAGTACATTTTTAAAAAATCCGGATTTTTAATGTTTTTGTGCTAGTACCACTGACAGAATGTTAGTCTGCGAGGATAGTCTTCTGGTAACAAGGCCTGCACTCGTTGTACATGGTAGAGATAAAGCAAATTTTCCCGTAGGATTATATGGACTATGGTATGCGATAGTCCTACGCGGCGGCCTAATTCCCGAATGCTGATATCTGCATTGATTTCCACGATATTTAAAATTTCTTCCTCCTGCTCTACAGTAATCTGTCTTTTACGAGTGCGAATATTAGTGGGCTGAACACTTCCTGTATCTCGAAGTCTTTGGTACACTTGCACAAGTGTCCTTCTGTCTAGGTTTACTCGTTGGCGAAATCTGTCGCGATGAATTTGAGCTGCAAGATTTGAATTATGACGAGCTTCACTTTTGATTCGTGAACATTGTAAATCAAGACGACGACGTACGCGAACAAAAACAAAACAACCTACCAACCACTGTTACCGTTTGCGATCGGTTGTCGGTTCGATAAGAGTGATGATTACCGACGCGCTGTTGTCATGCGTGTTTTAAATATTCAATTCAATGAAACTTACTTACTGACTACAAATGTTGGCTTAACTTAGAATAACTTTATGCCATTTATTTGTGAATTATCCAATTTAAAAACGTTTTAGATTAGATTATAAAAATTCGTAAGATTGTGGTCGATATACTCGTAAAACACTATAAAGCCATTTATTCCAATCGCTACTTGCTTAACTTTAAGCTGAGAAAAAAACTGTGCGAATCTTTGGTGATGTCAATGCTCAGTTACTGTGATGTCGTTTATTAATTCAAAATTTTAAGTGAAAATCAATATGGATTTACAGAAGGGCAGGCTACATCGGACGCAATAACTAAAATTGTAAATCAAATATATCAAAATATTGATAACAGAATCCCTTCAATCTGCATTTTTGTTGATTTAAAGAAAGCTTTCGATACAGTTAATCACAAATTATTATTAGAAGCATTGGAGAGAATTGGTTTCAGAGGAAACGCGTACTCACTGATCGAAAGTTATTTGTCAAATCGCCCACAATCTGTGCAGATATCAGGATCATTTAGTAAAGAAATGTATATTAAGTGTGGTGTCCCACAAGGAACTGTCTTAGGTCCGCTGTTATTCAATATATATTTAAATGATATTTTCCAAATTAATGGTGTTGGCAAAATAACTAGTTTTTTAGATGATACTGCAATATTATATGAAGGCACTGACTGGTCTGATCTGAAAAATGTAATTGAAAATGATTTTATCAAAATTATTCGGTGGTTTAACAGTAGAAAATTAAGCATTAACTACTCTAAAACACATTTTTTACCATTTGGATCTTATGCTAGACATCTGCCAAATTACACAAATTTCTCCTTCAATATTAATGATCAAAAAATGCAAATTAATAGAGTGCCAACATAAAATACCTTGGAGTGGTCTTGGATCCTCACTTACGATGGGACATTCATGTCAATTATATTTTAAAGAAAGTTAGATTTGTATCCTACAAAATTAAATACCTTGGAAATATATTGACAGAAAAATATCTTCGAACATTATACTATGCACTGATTGAGCCTCATCTCACATATGGTATATTAGCATGGGGAGCTGCATGTTCCTCACATATCTATAATTTAGATGTTTTTCAAAAAAGTATTCTAAAAATGATATTTAAAAAACCGAAACTTTATCCCACTGAAAAATTATACGCAGATGTTCGAATGTATGATATAAGACAGCTTTATTTCTTACACAGTATCACTCACTACCATAAATTTGTAAACACCGACCAAAAAATTAAACATAATCATTATACCAGGTACAAAATTCGTGGCACAGTAGTTCCTCAACCGCATAAATCTATAATGCAGCGATCATATCTCTATTTAGCGCCTAAATTTTATGAAATTATACCTAAAGACTTAAAAGATTTACGTTTCGGAAATTGTTTCAAAAGGAATTTAAAAAAGTGGCTACATTCTATATCTAGCACTGAAATTCATAAACTCATAAATACGAACATCAACTAAATACATAATCTACTGTAGCGAATTTTTGTCCTTTTTTGTCATTTGCATTCTACAGTTTCAACTTAAATTTATTGGTCCATGTACAGGCGATGCCTTCTATTGGGCCTGTTTTGATTTTATATTTATTTACTCATATTGTTTGTTATCTTTGTACATTGAGTGAATAAATATTATTATTATTATTATTATTATTATTATTATTATTATTATTATCCATGTTTGGATCAATTGACCAAAAATCGTCTTCAAATCATCCAAAATAACTGTGTTCGCTTTATTTATAGGTTGCGTAAATACGATCACGTAAGTGATAAATATAGGCAATTGAACTGGCTTAGGTTAGGAAGTCTGGTTAAACATAAATTCTTAGTTTTAGTTCATAAAATAATATTGTCATCAAAGCCTGAATATCTAAGAGCTGAGTTAAGATTTAATTACGAAGTGCATGTCAGGGCTGTTAGGAATCGTTATAGTATCAGAACCACCTCACACACTTCTGCATTATTCCAACGAGGATTTACATATAATGCAGCACTATGTTATAATCAGTTGGACAACAGTATTAAATTGATGTCTTTGGAAAGTTTTCGTAAACATACTAAAAGCATGTTGCTCGCTATTGATTAAATAAGCATTTCTGCTACAGATATAGATTGTGTCTATTTGTATTTTATACTTAGGTATATATGTGTTCTTTTTTTCATTGTTCTTATATTTTTTTTCCATGTTTTGAACATCAGATGTAACCGACATAAACAGTTAAGTGTAAGAGTAGCCTTGGCTAAACTTCGCTGTTTATATCCCTCCGGGTTATCCAATAAAGACGTTATTATTATTATTATTTAGACTTTGACTTTTGGATATGAACTTTTTGACTTGTTTTGACTTCCCCTATCACCCATTTCAATAACGTTTACACCCTGTATTATACGTACCACAAAAGCTAAGAATTTCGGTTCCCATGTTTCTCGTCAGCGCTCTGTATAATGCGTCTTTTTTATAATAGATGCTATTTTTTTCCAGAACGAATTGTATTCGAAAGTGTGCTCCCAAGAACCAAACATTCACACGGATTTTTCGCGTCTCGCTAGGTGGTTGACGGGAAAATCTGTTGGGCTGGTCCTTGGCGGAGGAGGTGCTAGAGGGTCTGCACATGTCGGCATGATCAAAGCTATTCAGGTGACTATACACGGCGCTTCATAATATGCGGAACAATCCAAGATAGCGTCAGACATAGCAAATACGAAGACGTAATGAATACGTGTAATGTTTCAGCTCTCGACTATCATGCGTAGTGTACGCCTGTGTTTACATCTATCTTAGCTTTGGATGGAGTTTAATTGTGAAGTTCATATTTTTTTGTAGGAATCTGGTATACCTATAGATATGGTAGGCGGTGTCAGTATAGGTGCTTTTATGGGCGCTTTGTGGGCCCAGGAGCGCAACGTGACCACCGTCACACAGAAAGCTAGGGAGTGGAGCAAGGTAAGATGAGTTCGAAGTCAGAACGTAGGAATTTTTTTGTTTGCGGGTAGTTTAAGACTATGATAATAATAGCATTTATTTTGTTTGTTTGTTTCAGATTTATTTAGCATTAATGCTACAATGTCCATAATATCCATATTAAACAGTATATCGCAAAATATATTATGTCTTCAAGACTACATATTTTTATACACAATATCGCTACTATGAATTCTGGTTTTCCATGAGATAGTTTTTCAATTTCCCTTTGAACATTTTCAAACTGGCACACATCTTGATATCATTACTTAATTTATTAAATTCGTACAATCCCTTTTGAAATACTGACTTGCTCGTTATATTGCTACTGCAGTTTCGTAAATGAAAGTCTGTACTTCCTCTAGTAGAATGATCAATACAATAAAATTTTCTAAGTGATTTGGTAGAAGATGATTTTTTAACTTGATAATGAAAATGAAAACCAAGTAGGCTATGAAATTTTTGATATTTAACCATTGTAGTTCTTTCAGCATAAAATTTATTCTAGTATATTTATTTTTATTTAAGATGATTCTCATAGCTTTATTTAGTAATATTTGTAATTTTGAAAATACAGTTTCCTTTGCAGTGTACAAAATAGTCGAACAGTATAACAAATGAGGAAGAATGATAGTGTTGTACACAATTTTTTTAGAATTAACGCTTAGGCTATGCGAAAATCTATAAAAGTAATTTATTTTCTTGAATATTTTTGAAATAATATATTCATAGTGCCCTTCAAATTTTAATTTACTGTCTACGTATATGCCCAAATATTTGAGTGATTCGATTGACACAATTTTTTCATGATTAATTGTAAGATTTATCGTATTTTGATCTAAAGATTCTCCTATTGTTTGTGTTTAGTTTAAGTTTATTTACATTTAACCAATTTATTACGTTTTTCATATCATTATTTACAGCTCTATTAAAGTTTCAATGTCTTTATTTGATATATATATATATATATATATATATATATATATATATCACGTAGTATGTGAGGATGTTGTACTACTTACTGTAAGTTAATTTAAAATTCATTTTGCACAATTGTTGCTATTTTTCTCAATGATATTGCAGCTCCTGATGATGATGGCAAAGACCATTAAAAGCTAGAGAGATTAATAAAGTATAAAGAGTCCTACTTGCTTAAATTTCGTCGAAGTACCCAACAAAAGGCGGAAGCTTCAATTTTTCACCTAACTGGTCTAGACGACAATGACCGCGTCTCAATATATATATATATATATATATACAGGGTGACTTCGAAGTTGAGTCATTTATTTTAACAGTGAGTAGATCTGATCAAAAGAAATGTTTTTTCCTTTACCATTTTTCTGGTAAAATTAAAGTAACAAAGTTATAGCCCTTTGGAAGTTTGAGTACCGCCCTGTCTCAATAATAATATTATGTGCTCGTGTTTGGCAACAACGGATATAATCCGCCTTATCGGTTCATCGCATCGGAAACAAAAAAGCGGAAGAATTTGGAACGATGTTTTTACAATTATTTTATTCAGTTGTATACAGTCAGTGTCAGTCGGTAACGCGTGAGTGAATAGTGGTGTCTGTTGCGTGGCTCAAACGAAATAAAATAAATAGTAATGGACCTAATTTGCTACCCTGTGGCACACCTACCGAAATGTTTTTAATGTTTGATAATGTATTGCTAATTTTAGTTCTTTGACTTCTATTGATTGAGTAATTTTGTAATAAGTTGAATACTAAACCTTGAAATCCATAGCAATGCAATTTCGTTAACAATTTCTCCCTGTCAATAGTCTCAAATGCTTTCTTGAAGTCTAAGAACAATGTTACCGTAAACTTTTTTTCATCCATATTTCGCCTCCATTTTTCTACTACCATTTCAATTGCTGTTTCAGTAGAATTCTTTTTTCTGAATCCTGCTTGAAATTTTGTCAATATCTTATTTTCTTCAATACGTTCGAAGACTTGTTCATATATGATTCCTTCTAAGAGCTTCTCGACATCTGGCAGTACATTAATCATGTTTGTATATAACTCAGAATTTTGCACTTTTGCAACAGGAGTAATCGTAGAACATTTTAATTTTGAAGGAAATCCGCCATACACTAAGCAGTGATTCACTAACAATAATAATTTAACTCCAATAATGTTGAAACATTCCTTAATAACTATTTTTGAAAGATGTTCTCTAGGATTTCTATTCGATTTCAATCTTGTAATAGCTTTTGAAAGATGGCTGATATTTATTGTTTGGAATTGTCTCATAGAAGAATTATAAGTAACTTGCATGTGACATAGATTTGGATTTTGGATTTTGTGTTACTATACCATCTTCGGAGCACATTCTTGATAATTCATTCTTCCCTTTAGCTCGTAAGCGTTGAAGCTGAAGGTGCAATTTGATCTACTAGATTTTTCGCAATGTTAGTAAAATAAAGATTAAAGATGCAGGGTTGTTGTTGTTGTTGAAGATTTATTTAGCATTAATGCTACAATGTAAATTTTGTCTGATTCGGTTACATATTTTTCTTCAATTCATTTTTTGTAATTTTACATTCTTGTCTATTAAAACTAAAATTACGTCACTGTGCAACATGAATATATGATGAACTGCTGCTAAGTTAACTGGCGCTGTCAAAATACAACTTCAAGTTAACTTAATGGTTATAGTTAACTATCTTATTTATTTATTTATTTATTTCCAACAGGTGAAACCCAATTACAGGAAACGCTGAAAAAAATAACAATTAAAGAGACATGGTTCTTGGGCTTAAATCTATAGTATCACACATTCTAAATAAGATTGGATGATCTATAACAGTTAATAATCGATGCACAACTGTCACTGTAAATGTCACACGATTCAGTAACACTGTTCATGAAATTAATTGGCGATTTTGTCATAACATTTGTACGGCCAGCTTGACAATAGAATGCCATTTGTTGTCGACTCCCTAGCCTTGGAACGCAGAAACATATTTTTTCAAGTAAATTTTGACAGTCAATTTTATTGTGAATGAGGCCATCCAAAAACGACAAAGCAAATATGTTTCGTCTTGTTGACAGTGAATCCAAATTGAAAGACTCTAATAGGGCACTATGGTCACAACCTCTTTCTGGATAAGAACCTGTGCATTTAAGGTGAAAATACTTTAAAGCTTTACGTTGAATGGCCTCAAGGATCACGACAGAATTTTGGTATATAGGAGACCAGATCAGAGTCGCATACTCCAACTTGCTCATGACAAAAGTAAAAAATAAAGTCATTAATGTATCAACATTGGAGAAACCCTTCCAGTTTCTGATACAGAAACCAAGTAGTCGAGTGGCAGCCGACGAGATATTGAGTATATGCTCAGTAAACGTTAGCTTGGTATCAAAAATGACTCCAAGGTCTCTATAAGAGGTGCATCTGTCTATAACCTGACCATTGATGTTATAATTATCATAAATTAAATAGTTCACTTTTCTTGTATAAGTCATAACTTTACATTTCGAAACATTCAGACTGAGACAGTTTCGTGAACACCATGACGAAATTAGAGCTAAGTCATCTTGCAACATGACGCAATCTTCGACTGTCTTGACTGACGTGCAGATTTTAAGGTCATCAGCGAAAAACAAATGGAAACACTTCAGTTCAAAAGACAAGTCATTAATAAATATTAAAAACAATAATGGACCTAGATTTGACCCTTGAGGTACCCCAGACGTGGCCCGATAGTAACTCGACCTATGACCACCATATTCGACAAATAACCTTCTATCCCTCAAATATGAATTTATGAGCGACAGCATTGCATCAGACATACCCACTGTTTTAAGCTTATCCAGAAGTGCATAATGATCAACTTGATCAAAAGCCTTCTGAATATCTGTGTAGATGACATCAACTTGTCCCTGACCGTCCAGTACTTCAGAAATGTATTGAGTAATTAGAGCCAAGTTGGTGACCGTAGATCTGCCTCTCATAAACCCATGCTGATTAATAGAGACTGCACCCCTGACCGAGCAGTAAACAGTAAACCGTTTCATAAGCGATGATCTCAAACAACTTGCTGAAATTGCACAGGATTGCTATTTGCCGATAGTTGGAAATATCAGAGATATCTCCACTTTTGTGAATAGGACATATTTCAGAGGTCTTCCAGATATTTGGATATGTCTCTGATTTTAGAATTAGGTTGAATATGGAAGCCAGCGGTTTCGCTAGTATATGAAAGCAATCTTTAACGAAAAAACTTGGAATACCATCACATCCAGACGTCATTTTGTTCTTTAATCTTTTCGAAGCCCGAATTACGTTTTCTTCACTTATATCTTGCGATTGAAAAACCAGGCGTAAAGGTGAATAAAGAATCCTTACATAAGGAGGCTTTACGGACGAAGCATTCAGCCGTCAGACGAGATTACTTTTGTTTATTTGCAGAAAATGACACAGTGGTGGCGTCAAATCCTCGATTTGACCTATCCGATGACCTCGATGTTCAGCGGCCGCGAATTCAATCAAACGATTCGCGCCACTTTCGCTGATACTTACATCGAGGACCTCTGGTTGCCGTATTTCACTGTCACGACCGATATTACCTCTTCTTGTATGAGAATTCATACTCATGGTAAGTCTGATTCGGACATTATTGGCATTATAATATTTGGCTGTACGAAATCCATTGAAATGTTTAGCAAAAAGTCGAGCTATTTGTTAGTATAGTTTGCGACGTGCTTATAGTGTCTGCTTACATTTTTTAACGATGGTCGTTAAAAAGCCATAAAACCGGCGATATCTAGGCGCCCCTACTAGCTTGTGGTGGTGTAGGGAGCGGAGCAACATAAACTGGTGGACATGGCAAATTTTACCCAAATTCAAATCTCGATATTTTCGGAACGTAAGGAGATATCGATTGCGATATTCGGGAGATTCTCGTCCCAGTCTTTGAGATCCGGTATATATATTTTTTATTTATCCACTCTTGTAAAGGAAGTCAAGTTTTTTTTTTTGCAAACTTTGGGACTGTCAGATTCGCAATTTTTGATCTTGTAAATTTTGCTATGCATCTTTTTGATCTTGCAACCGTCCACCAGTTTAGATAAATATGGTTTATTGTGTAGTAATAGTAGAAAGATTTATTTAGCACATTTGGCTACATAAAAAGAATAATTGTAAACAACTTAGAATTAGTAAATTCAAGCCATATGATGTATCATGTAAATGCTGGGCAAGCTATAATAATTGTAGATTTAACAAGTGATTCCTCAATTTTACTTTAAATTTTGCCAAAGTTTTCTGGTCTTTTATCTCTGTGTATAATTTATCATATTCAATCAACCCTTGATGGAATACAGATTTGTAGCATATGTTATACTTTTTGGTCATTAAATGGAAGTCATCTTTATCTTTATCTGGTATTATGTAAATGATGGTCGGCATTTGATGATGTTAAATTAGTTAGACTTGATGGAAATATATTATTTTTTACTTTATAAATGAATATCATTGCAAGATATTTGATAAAATTTTTTACATTGAGCCATTTTAATTTGCTAAGCATTTGTCTAATTGGAGTATATTTATCTTTATTCAGTATTATTCTCATGCACTTGTTTTGTAAAATTTGCAGTCTTTCATAAATGGAATTATTTGCTAAATATAGAATAGTCGAACAGTACAAGAGATTTGGAAGAATGATGGTATTATAGATAATTTTTCTGCTATATGTACTCAGACATCCAGAAACTCTTGATAAATATCCCACTTTACTACTAATCTTACTTATAACTTTTTCATAATGAATATCAAAAATTAATCGAGAGACAACAAAAACCCCCAGGTATTTAAAATTTTCTATGAATTCAATATCTTCACCATCAATATTCAGTTGAACATTTGTACCTTGTTTTTTTCCGATTAACATAGCTTTCGTTTTACTTGTATTTAATTTGAGTCTGTTAGATGTTAACCATTTTGAGATAAGTTTCAAGTCTTCATCCATATAAGAGATACCAGTCTGAATATTTTTAGTACTTATATAAATCATAGTGTCATCGGCGAAAATCTGAATTTTGCTTTTTTGACTAAGGCAGGTAAATCATTTATGTATAAAATAAAAAGAAGTGGTCCCAGGATATTGCCCTGCGGAACCCCCAACTTATTTTCAATTTTTGATGAAATAACTTTTGTAACTTGCATCCTTAAATAATTTCTAAACCAATGTAAAACACTCCCTGATATACCATATGTCTTCAATTTACCTAACAAAATATCTCTATGAATAAAACAATCATTATTAATGATAAAGTTAACTTAAAAAAACTATAAATAATTGCATATTTATCTCGAGTAGGTGAATTGTAAAACTCATACCAGATTTAATATGGTTAACATATAGAAAAGTGTTCTAGTTCACGGCGGAATATCTGTAAATTGTTAATTCCTTGTTTCAAAAATAAGGTTCCCGCATTTTCTTCAGGTACGAGGATTTTTTTTGAAAAAACGTATTCACCATTGGAAATGTTGATCTTGTAGCTACTTTGGGTGGCACCCAGTGCGGAAGTTGGTGGTGTCACCCCTTCTAAAGTCAAAAGCAATAAATTTTATATGATTCATAAACGTCATGGATTATTTATATTTAAAATATTGAACAAAACACAATAAAAACTAGACAGAAAAAATATTTTTACCTTACAATAAAAATCTCTCCTTTCCAGCTTTGACAGCTGCAAACTTAGAAATAACTTCATCAAAATTTATATTTTGTATTGCCTGGTGTTCGATGGCTAATATACCAATATTGCTAGGCCGCGATTCGGTCATTGTTGCTCGCAAATAGTTTTTACTGAAGCTCCTTTCACATGAAGCACGGACACGTAAACCATGATGAACAATTTCAGTACAGTCATAAGATTTGGAAGAGATTCTGTAAAATCCCATTTTACAATAAACTTTAAAAAAACTAGAAACTGTATCATTAGCGGCTTTTAAGTGTCTTCGCAGTCTTGGTACCTCCAAAAGTAATTCTGTTTCTGAGACCTTATCATAAAAATTAGTAAATTTCAGTTCTTCAGTATTCGCCAAAAGCAAATGAAGCTAGGTATTGAAGAGACTTCGATCTTGTCTGGAGTTCAACTCTGATAAGGTTGAGCCACAGGGTGGGTGTCACCCCCAAAAAGGTGACACTCGGTGCCAACCGCCCCCCTTGCTACGTCACTGCTTATAGTGCGATTTATTTTGTATTCGCTACGTTTTGATTATTATTTAGATCAGTATCATACTGACGATGCTACACGCGTGTTGGTACCGTAAGCAAGCAGAAAAAATGTAAATACACACTATAGATCTGTCGTAAACTATACTCTTGATTACTTGAAGAAAATGAAGCCTGACTCGCGAATTTTTGGCTGGTATAAGATTTCCAGAGTTTTCCCGTCATTCAGACAAGAATAGTGTAACTTTTGAGATGTTTTCCGTCGATCCAAATTTATTATATTATAGTGTCAATAATTTTTATCTAGTTGTTGAGAATGCATAAACAAACAGTTGATTTTTTGAGTTGTGCGTGTATGTTGTGTGGTAGTGTAGCTTTTTTTATTTATACTTAACGCGAAAAATCTGTTAACGATAATATAATTTTGAGTAAAATTAGATGATAAATAAACGGTTCGTTTGTAGCAGACAAAGAATGAACCTGTGAATTTAAAAAAAAAGTTTGATTCGCGCAAATTTGCTAAAATGAGGTATTTTCTATTACACACATTTGCCATTTTACATCCATTGTGTTTGTTCAGATCCATCTTTCAAAGATGATGCTGGTTATCCTCGTTTTTTCTTTTGGAAAAACGTATTCGAAATTCGTTCATTACAGATTACGGGACCCATACGAATCTATTGTGATCTCCGTATATTCTGTCTAAAGCACCGTGTCACTTTGTGGCGTTTTATGGATGTTATTGTTTTTTGAAATTTTTTCGAAACTTTCAAATACAAACTTTCGTATTTTCGCTGATGGAATCAACCATCACCCCTGGAACTTTATTCCGAAACTGTCAACGCTAGGGAATAATAATGCATTACATAATGCATAAGTATGCCATTATTGGCAGAGCACTTATACAGGGTGTTTCAGTTTATTGTTGCATAACTTTAAGATTCGATAGAACTTTTAAAATTAATGCTTAAGTCTATATAAAAAAATGCGTGGCTTCCGAAATACAGGGTGTTTAAATTTACTTTCTAAAATAGTTTTTTTTTAATACAATACAAGGGTTTTTTGGTACGACAAAACGAACCATGGGCATAGTTTTACTGTAGCCGCTAGAGGGCGCTCTCTACTGTAACTGTAGTGTATTAAAATGACCGAAAAATTTTTCTTAGTGCAATTTTTTGCTTTTTGAATAAAAAAACTGATTCTTCGCACTTTTCAACATAAAAAAGCTCTCTTGTAAATTTTCGTTATAGTTAGCCGTTTTTGAGATATTTCGATTTTTAAGGTTTGATGTATTTTTAATTATTTATGATAAAATAACGTTAAAAAGTCGGTATCTCGATTCTCGATAATTTTTAGAAGTAGGCTGTGCCTGCAAATATTTTTGAAATTGAAAGCAGAATAAGGTTAAACGTCAATTAGTTGACAGTTAGTTTTGTTGTCTGTTGAAACCTGAAACGTTTTTTTGCAATTGTGAATGCACGAAATTTAGATTCTTTTACCTGTTTTTTTTTGTAAGTTTTATAAAAATGCCATTTTTATTCTCCAGAGTTAGCGGCTACAGTAAAACTATGCCCATGGTTCGTTTTGTCGTACCAAAAAAACCTTGTATACCAATTTTCACTGTTATACATCAAATATTGTTCGAAACATTTAAAAAAAACTATTTTAGAAAGTAAATTTAAACACCCTATATTTCGGAAGCCACGCATTTTTCGACCCATGTTTATATAGACTTTATACATTAATTTTAAAAGTTCTATCGAATCTTAAAGTTATACGCATATACTGAGGAGACGAAATATTGATACTTCTACAAAATAAACATTTTGGAAAATACCCCATTTTAACAAACTATCCTCACTAGTCTGCTACAACGATTACAGTCAAGCGCCTCATTGAAGCCTCGTTTCTTTCGTTTCTATTATTTTTGGCGTGTAATATGTATCAGCTTCTTATCGGGATTATTTGTTTCCTTTTCCATTTGTTAGCTGTGTATATTCTTATGCTTGATATATTTTTTTATGAATGTGTCCATTGTGATTGGTTAACCTAAATGTTAGCACATCGGTCCATTCAAGCGCGCTTAGCGGAAGATATCTAGAGCGCCATGATGACATTTGACGTATTTGACGGATGACAGCACGGTTAAACTTGACAGCTGGGCCGCATTTCACACTTTTCGCATCAATAGTCGACCAAACTGACAGCCTAACCAGCGTTCAAACCTGACATCGACCTTCAGCATTTACTAATCATTTCATGTCTGTGGATTTCTACATAACTTTACGAGTATACGTAATTCTGGCTACGCGCTCAGTAAATATTACATTCCATGATAAATACTGACAAATTTCAGTAAATACGGATCGTGTGGCATTCATCTGGCTTGCTATCTTCCATGCTCAATATCTCGTTTCTAAGGCTTGTATAGGAAAATAAACGTTTCATTCTTTTCTCAACATTTGCAGCAGATATGATATTTTTGTTATTCCCGCGAAGGATAGATCTCTGTTTAGTCTACAGTGGCCTCTGAAAATCTCATCCAGAAGAATGAGCGACTTTTCACTTTTGTACAATAGCCAGGACAATCGTCTCTCCTACAACCATATCTTCTGAACTGTGGTTTTGATAATAGACACTTTTACTGTCTTATTCCGATTGACCTTATATCCTCGATAGTTGCTGATGGGTCGATAAAAACCACATTACTAGTTTGTACAATATGATTCTTCAGAAGGCTCTTAAGATATTCCGTGCCTTCACATTTCTTAAGATGTCTCGGAGCTTTTCCTTGTTGCAAGTGCTGACAACCGACGTACGAAGAATGTCATCTTGGCATTATATCTAAAAACCATCAAAATTTTTTGTATTCCATGGACCTTCCAAAATTCTGGGGGTATGTATGTTAGTTGTAGCGAAATTTCCAAATCAGATTCTGAATACATACAGCTTTGTATTTGCAAATTACAACACACTGAATGATAAAAAGGCATTAGGCCTTTTTGGACCTACATCATTTCAAACAGGCCCGAACGTTGAGGCTGAAATTGACATCTCGTCAAGTATCTTGATTGGCATCCCCTGCTTATAAACGATTTAACACAGCTTCTAACTTTAAAAAGTTGCTAATATTACGTATTATTGCGTACAATGTATTGTATGTCTGCCTGCGTTGTGTATATTGATCTTGATCAGAGCTAGATTCAATCATCTCGTCGCAAATAGGAATATTTTCCTTGGAAACCACCTTTGTTGTGGATACATACCAAAAGTAAATGCTTTAGAATTGAATCTAGCGCTATAGAGATACTGATAAGGATTAAGGGATATGCAGGGTGAAAACTTTCCACTACGGATTTATCGAAAATTACTGATTAAAAAAAAACGCCAAGACACGGTAAACGATTTTTTAAGGACAACTTTTTAACCAAAACCTTCTGCCCCCTTACGGTCATCCCCCTGAAACTTTTAAATGACAAGGGGTATCGAATATTAGCTTGTTTGAAAGGTCTTTCGAAGTACTTTATTTTGACGTTTGTTTTTTTTAAATCGGTCGACTCGATTTCGAGAAAATTAGAAAAATCTATCTGACAAATCAAGATAAGTAAAGATTTGTCTAATTTTCTCGAAAACGAATCGACCGATTTAGGAAAATCAAAGTTCAAAATAAAGGACTTCGAAAGACCTTTCAAACAAGCTAATAGTCGATACCCCTTGTCATTTAAAGGTTTCAGGAGGATGACCCTGGGGGACAGAGGGTGAAAGGGGTGAAAGTTTTTGGTTAAAAAGTTTTTCCCCTTGTCAAATCTTTTGAGTCTCGGCGTTTTCTATTTTAATCAATGGTTTTCGATAAATCCGTGGTGGTAAGTTTTCAAATGAACACCCCATATAGTTTCGTAATATCACAAATCTTCGCAACATATTATCAAAAAATTCTTTGAAGATGTCAGTACATATTGCACATTAATGATTATTTTTTCTGTCCCTTAATTGTTGTGCTGTGTTCATATTGTAGATGTGTATAAATGTATCGCGCGTGTTGACGGTGTAAAGATTGTACATAAGCCTCGATCGTTTTGTTGTATTTAGAATGTTTTATGTCACTCCTATACAGATACATGAAACACCGGTAGTGTAAAAATCGGTGTCAAGCAACGACCTTGTTATTTAAATTATAGTCAAAATCACGAAAGATGACTATTAGTCATACCATAAATTGTACTGAAGTAACCAATGGACGTACGTCGATGATAAAATCACGATGTCATGAATTTGTATTATGATAGGTTATTTCACTGATTATTTTTATTTCATGGTTTTCAGTGATACCTTAATAATAATTTTAGAGGGGAGTTTTTGTTTTGAAAAAACAGTTATGAGTAGAATACATCTTAAGACATTAACACGAAAGACCAAAGTATTATTCGAAAACAACCTAACCTGCTTTAACATAACCTAACTATTCATCTTTCAAATATGATCGATCATGCAACATGGAAACATCGTCTGTCTTTGTCGGAAACATGCAAATTAGAAACACCGTTTATTTAGACAATAAAATTCTGTTTGTCTCTGTCTAACATATCTGAAACTTCATTAAAAATATTCACAAATCGCTGCTACAGACTAAAATGATGACGTAATCGTCATCTTTCGTGATTTTGACTATATAGATGACGCTCAGGTATTCCAGCTTAAAAATATTAGAGAAAACATCACATCCACTGAACTGGGATGTTTAATGAACAACATTTTTGTTAAGACACTTGTATAGAGATTATGTGCTTGAGGAATTTTTCAAAATTTTTACAAAAAGTGTTGTAGATGTTTTCTCATGTTTTTCGAGATATGTGTTTTCTAATTGCAGAAACGGTTTTTAATATTTTTCTCATTACCAAGCTTTCGTCTAAAATTTCTCAGGAGATTATCAAAGCACTGAGATATCCAAGTTGGAAGCTCGATTTTTAATAGCCTTTTGAGTATTTGATTGCAACCGAAATGTTTTTCCTATTTGAACACCTTTTTGGTTTATTCCTACGATTTAAAGCACATCGAGCTTTGATGCTTCTGTATGAGTTTTTGTGTTTTATTCTAATTTAGTGACGCATCAAATTTAACCAATAACTTTTTTTCATGATAGGCTAAACTTAATTGATTCTATGCTCCTAGTTATACACATTTTTCAATATGCTGACACTCCGTAAAAAATATTCCATTGACGGTCTGTTTCCCAGCTCGTCGTCAGGAAAATAACAGATTTAATAACTATGGAGCATGGAAGTTATGCTTTCACATTTTTCCCTTCTCATTTCTCCATCTGAACATTGGTGTCATATTGAAAGTGAAAAAAAGGGGAGACATAATACGATCCTTTATTATTAATGTTTTATACCATGATCTTTTTATACATTTTTCTAGGAATTTTTAATTATAAGGAACAGATAATATTTATATTGTGGTATAACGTGTGATCTAAAAGTTTTGGCACAAAATGTGTATGGGAAGAAATTTATTTAAACACTAACTAGTTATCATAAAGCTTCTGAGGTTTGCGCTTGTAGTATTTTCAGATTTTTCTTCAAATGATAAATTCAGTGAAGAACTAGAAGCCAAAGAAAACTTAGTATCAACTTCCTCTTCATCGTTGCTACTATCGCTCTCTTTTTCTTGATGACTTTCTCTTTCTTGGAGTATATTCTCCTACCTACCTACTGAAACAAAATAGTTCGTGATAATAAAAGGAATAAACACGGCAATAAAGTCTATAAACAAGAATTTTGGTTGCAACTATGGTCCATACCCTTTCATAGCTTAACTGGATATAACCCTTTCATAATCACAACTCCAAAAAATAAGTTGGACCATAGTTGAAATCAAAATGTATTTTTTTGTTTTTTTACTCGAGAAGAAAAAACACGTGAAACTCAACAAATAACTAGTTGCATATCGAGATAATACAATAACTCATATTATTAAACTAAAAAAATCGAAGTACTTACCACCTGCAGCATCGAAAGTTTGCAGGTAAACAAACACCTTGTACTTGATGTATGCGATAGTAAGCGTCAAAGCGAAATGAAGATTCCTATGAAATGCGATGTTTTACTGGAGACTATTAGCTCTTTACTTAATAATAGATGTCGCCATAATATGATTTACAAATGTTTTAAAAATGTACTGCTTTGAGACCATAGTTCTGGGGCAGGACTATTGTCGTCTGAAATTACCATTGCTCCTCGATTCCAACGATATCGTTCTCTTAGAAGAGCCAGTCTCCTTGTTGACGTTTTGCTCTTCTCACCAATCTCTGACGTCTATGCAGTAAATGCACGTGGTCTTCCACTTTTTGGGAGATTCAGACATGGTATTCCCTGCTGGCACTCCGCTTTTGATCGTTAAATGGTTCTGAGTGAAAACCTCAGAATAAATGAATGTCAACTGACAGTAAAGTAAGTAAACAAACTTTTGTTTCTGAAGGCAACATGATATTATTTTGTGTTTATTAAAATTAAAGCCAAAACTTTTAGGACATACGTTATCATGACTTTTTATTCACTTTCGGTGTCTACCCTGTATATATACAATATTAGAGCTAGCCCCTTCAAAAAGCACTAGATTATAAAATAGACGAAACTTTTCACTTTCTAATATTTGGAATATCCAACCTAGACGGAAAAAATGACATGGATATATTGGTCGTTTGAAAGTCCTTTTTCAAAAATGACCTTTCAACCTTCATTGCATTTTAATATCCAGAATTTTAATATCCAGATGTCATTTTACTGTTGCTTAGATTGAATGTGATTAGTCGAATTGGTTTACAGCGAATTTTTTTATAAAATCGTCTATTTCTGAATCTTGTGCCTTTTGAGTACCTGTACATAAAACACCGCATACTACGATCAAGCATACGTTAGATTGTTTTCAAAAAAAATCTAAATTAGTTAACGTTTCATACAGAACATGTGAAAACATGAAACTATAGACATAAGAAGGGGTAGTCCTCTTCACGTTTGACGTTACCCAATAAGAGGGACTCTATCTTTGACGGATCTCCTATCACTTGTCCCGTCAAAGCTGTCAATAAATGTGACGTGTGCTTGATCGTACTCATCCCATATACCACACGCATAACCCAAATCCCACATATGATTTACCCGTTTGAACATAGATGATGATGATGAGCATGTAGTCTGACATTGGGCCTTGTGTGTCTCTCGGGTGTGTTCCGTAGGCTCTCTATGGCGATACGTGAGGTCGTCGATGTCTCTGAGCGGGTACATGCCGCCGCTATGCGACCCCCATGACGGACATCTGCTGCTAGATGGCGGATACGTTAACAATCTGCCAGGTAAAAGATCGCGCATAAGGACACTTTAAGCGTTTCCAAAAATAATAATAAGTAATTCTTTTTAATGAAAATTAAAGGAACTTTTGACTGTTTCCAATGTGTTGCTTGCACGTCAGTTGGGTGCGCCACCTATGGAGGAATGTATTATTTCTGCATATGATAAAGATAGCAGTAACGTCACTGAGTTGCAGTGAATAATCCAAACGTTTTGTGCGAGCCGCAGATTCGAACAGTAATTTGAAAAACAGTGTTAGTTGATCGTAAATGTCATATAAACGCTCGTAGAGACCCTTTTAAGATTATTGAAGGATACGGTGGTTACTTTTGGAATGTGACGCATGCTATTCTTGCTAACAAACTCAAATAAACAATGTATAATAATAAACAATTTCCAAAAACATCAGATAATATTATACATATAAAGTGTAAGAATATGTGATGCATCTATTTTTTCGATTCTCGTTGAAAAATGGTAATGGCTGTTATGGATGTATGTATAGTAATCTTAGGAAGGCTAAGGTAACCATCCTTAACTATCTGTCTGTCGTGTACATTATCACTTGAAAATAAAAATAAGCCTGGTCTACCTCCTGGACAGCAGAATAAAATAGGGTAAGTTGGCTCTGGTTAGAGGACAACTTTTCGAAAAGTGGACAAAAAGGTAAACCAATCACAATAATTTGGGTGTGTGAGGGTTTGAGGAAATATAATATTTTTTTTAGTCCAAATAGGTTTCAAACTTAGTGAAGGTGGTTTTTATACTGCGAGGTGTGACGGAGAACAGGATTTTTTCAAAACATGCGTCCAAGGAATTGATTTTACCATTGGTTGGATTTAATTGGTGACTAAAAATATAGTACATGATTCCTTGCTCTTAACTTTTGAGTTACAGGGTGTTATAGTTTTAAGAAAAAAATCGATTTCTTATCATAACTTTATTACTGTTTCATATTTAATAAAAAGCAATGGTGTACCATTTTTTTTTGAAAAATCTCCAGTATAAATCCCGTACGCACGCCACTGATAGACACATTAAAAAATCATCTACATCAAAAAATGCCTATTGGCGCTTAGTAATTGCATGTCAAATTTCATGAAAATATCTAGACCAGTATTAAAGTTATGATAAGAACGCTCAAAAGTTAAGATGTCTGGGACATACAGTAATTGACAAAAGTATATAGACAAATTAATATTTTGCTGTATTTCTTTTTTAACTTGTTTTATTAATACACCAACCTGTAAAAATTAATTGAAAAAAACTGGAACTATGAAGGACAAAAATATATAGACAAAGCAAAACAATTATAGAAAAAAGAAGCAAAGTTCATTGAATTATAGAAAACCAGCCATGTTTGTGTTAATATTTTGGTCGGTCCTTACGGTTTTTCCTCGAGATTAGCTGCTTCTTACTACGGTAACGTGCAAATCAAATCATTTAATCTTCTACTTATAGTTTTCGTAGAAACACTGAAAATTCATTTTGTCTCGAGTTTGGCTTTTATTTGTCTTGGGGTTTTAAACGCATCTTTGGACGGAATTACTTTTATTAATCTAACTGATCTAGGTAGCATTTAGTTTTCTAAGGCCAACCACTTCTCTTAGAGGCTTCCAAGATACCTTTTTGTTTATGTTTGTTCAATATCGCCCAAACAGCTTCAAATTTTTGGCAATGTCGACTTGACGTTGACCATCTTTGTATAACTCAAGGATCTTAGCTTCCACATCGAAAGAAATTTCTGGACCACGTGGCATGGTCACTCAACTTATTCCACAATACTTGATGAACACAAACTAATCCTCTTCTGACACGAAACTGTACTAAAGTAATGTTGAAAAGAATTTGTCTACATATTTTTGTCTCTCATAAAAAAGTGCTCATATTCAGACTTGTATTGTGTTCATTGCAGATAATGTAAAAACAAGGAATTTAGTTTTTCTACTAATAACGCATTTGTTTATGGAGCAATGAAGTATGCATTCGTTTTCTAAAGGTATTTAGGTAAATATTCATATTTGTCTATATACTTTTGTCAATTACTGTATGTTCATATAAACTTTTCTTCCTAAAATGAGCTACACGAGCCCTCAAATTAGAATAAATTTTCTCATTAATGTTACAAAAACTCCTCAAAGTTTTATCATCTTGAATATTCGTTCCATCTTATTGTTGGTTGTGTTTTTTTCACCTAAAAGTACGTCTGCACTTTCCATAGCATACCTCATTTTTGACTATCATATTCTCCTGATATGGCACCGTGTGACTATATTTTTGGCCATGAAGGGACATTTTAAAAGTTGTCGGGGTTTGTTCTTTTAATCAGTGGTTTTCGGTAAATCCGTGGTGGGATGTTTCCAAATGATGTAGAATTTACAAGATTAACTGGAGAGATGTACTTCAAGTAGGATGCTGAATATTTTTCAGCATTTACCGATTTTGTATTAGACAAGGTTCGTTGACAGGTCAATTATGGCGATATGTGCGGGCGAGTATGTCTATCGTGGGCATCTTTCCTCCCATTTGCGACCCGAACGATGGACATTTGTTGGCTGATGGCTGTTATGTCAATAACGTGCCAGGTAAGAATAAATATAGCAAAATTTGCAAACAGTTACGACGGCTGTCTCAACAATAAGGTTCACGCATTTTTCTCAGGCACAAGGAATTTTTTATTTGAAAAAACGAATTTGCCATGGGAAACGTTGATCTATGAGCTATTTTTCTACATAGTCGTCAGTTTTTCTAAGCGTCAAGGAAGTCCGCTGCCAGTCCGCTTGGAAACTTGGATGTCGCAACTTCGCTTATAGTTTCCTTTGTTCGTATTGACCTTGGACGCGCCGCAAGTTTCTGACTCAGTGTTGAACTTTCTGACCCACGACCTGATCACACCTTCACTAGTGCATTGATTTAGATCATATAAACAAAACTCGAAACAGACGCCGCGCAATGGTGCAAGAATCTCCATTTTTGTAATAAGCTTTAACACAGAACGCACGCTGCTCACCGATGAAACGCTCCATGGTGACTAAATTTCCGAGCACCAAGCTACTTATTCCCGCTATCCGTGCCCACTTTCTGGTTCACCCTGTATAAGAAGTTCGATATTTTTCATCTTTTTTCATTTTTTCTTAGCTTATAATATTATGTACACATGTAGTTTTTGAAAATGGTTCCAGTGGCGAGGAAGAAATAAAAATCGATCAAACTTTGTTTTTTGATGTTTCAGAGAATCCTGCTCATTTTTGCAAACACTTTTAGAGGTAAAAAAAAAATAAATACAGCAGACGCTCGATAACGTAAACACGGGATAATGAAAACTTGCGCTAATGTAAACACAAACTTCGTTCTGTAGGATCTGAAAGAAACTGAAAATTTCGTAGCTGGTGATGGCTGAAACGATTCAAAACAAGATATGGAATTCGACTGCTGTCTATATCTGGTGAAAAATTATCAGCACAACCACAATTAGTGCAACCAAGAAAAATTGATGAAAACAATTACCGAGCTAGATTTAAGAATGGAACAAATTTACAACGCAGATGAAAGTGGCCTTTATTGGAAAATGTTACCAGAGAAAACCTATGCTGCATCATTTGAAAAATCTGCCCCGGGCAGAAAGCCCGAGAAACAACGAATAACGTTTCTAGCCTGCACTAATGCTAATGGTTCACACAAAATAAAGCCACTGGTTATTGGGAAAGCAAAAAATCCGCGCTCATTTAAAAATGTTAATATCTCTGTTAATTATGACTGTTCAAAAACCGCTTGGATGACTAGCAGTATATTCCTGAAATGGTTCCACAGGTGCTTTGTCCCTCAGGTATGACAATTAATTATCACAAATGCTCTATTCATAATTTGAAGATGTGTTTTCAATTTGTAGGTAAAAGGTTTCCTAAAACAACAGAAGCTTCCAATAAAAGCGTTGTTACTATTGGATAATGCACCAAGTCATCCTCTCGAGCAACAACTGAGGAGCAGGGATGGGTCAATTTTCATCATGTACATGCCGCCCAACGTAACAGCGTTAATTCAACCGATGGACCAGAATATAATAAGACTCACCAAACTATACTAGAGGAAGTTTCTACTTTCGTCTGTCTTATCAAAGAATCCTGAAAACTTATCTGAGGCTTTAAAAAAAGTAACATTACGAGAAGCTGTTCTGGATTTACATATGGCCTGGAATGAACTTAACCAGCAAACTATTCAAAAATGTTGGAACAATCTCTTTTGTACCAATAATGAAGATGATGAAGAAAACGATGTCCCCTTAAGCGTAATTAGAGAACGTTTGCGATCCAATGATGATAATGTTATTAGTGTGTCATTGGATGTTGTTGACTTATTGAAAACAGTGAATCCCAACATTGTTTGTACTCCTGCTGATATTAATTTATGGAACGAAGATACGCAGACGAATGATACTGATAAGGAGGAGGATATGGACAGTGAGGATGATGAGAACGATCCCATTGAAGTCAGAAGTCTAGTGACTGACGCGAAAGCTATACAAGTTATTAACCAAGCTTTAGATTGGGCTGAAAAAAAAGAAGTTTCATACACAGATATTTTAGTTCTTCGTGAATTACGGGTGCAGGCATTGGAAGACAATGCTAAGCGCAAATTTACGCAGACAAAAATTGTTAATTATTTTTCTTCTAATTAAAAAAATACTTATCGCTGTTAGAATATTTTTTTATTTTGTTATAAATAGTATGTATTAAACGTTTCTTTTAATAAATCAAATATTATATAAATCACGTTCGCTAATGTAAACATTTCGATAATGTGAACCACACTTGGATTAAATTAGTTTACATTATCAATAACAAGAAATCGTCACTCAAGTCGCTATGAATTTCTATGAGTGGTAACGGTTTTGCGTGCAAAAATCGGATGAAGAGCTCCCTTGCGCACGGATGCCAGGCCGGTACTGAGCGTCGTCAGTAGACGTTTCTTGTTGGGATCGGTGATGGGGAAACCGACCAACACGTCGCGGCAAAGATACAGAATTGGGAGCCTTATTTTTGAGACAACTCTCGTACATGGATTTCAATATCATACACTGAATCAAAGCAGCTACGTCGCAACGTCAAGTAATGACAGTGACGCACATGGTTGCCACATTACTTAAAACTACTAGATCCTAGGAAATAAACAACAGCCGTTGACGTAATTATCTGACAAACTTTACGACAATGTCACAACACAGAAAACTGTTACCAACATAAATTTAGGATCTATTTTGCATTAAGGTTGGTATTCAGATTTACTGAATATGAGGCAACTGCTTTGTTTCAGTGAAACGACTATACATTTAATTTTATCGACATTCACACTTAAACTATTATTGAACAGCCATTGCTGGAAAGAACCGCTCATGTCGTTGTATTTAATTTTATTGGAAAATGTTAGCAGCTCTATATGTAGCCACTGTATTTTTATTTTTGTGGAATTGAATCTTGTTGTGACATGACAATGATAATGTCATAATTTATGATGCATCGCTGCTTTCGAATTCAAGGGATTCCATATAAACGTTATTTGATAATATTTCTGTAAAAGATATTTTTTGAAACGGGTAGGTATAGTTCGATTAAAAAAACCTGAAACTCATCGTATTTTCTGAACTCCTGCTTTAACGTAAGGTTAATCCGCAATTCCAGTAGTCAAGATCAGAATTATAATTTTGATAATACCAGTGCAATAAAATATTTCGATAAATAGATTTTCCCGTTCATTTTTTATGATGAAAAACTAGGCAAACTAGGAATGCGAGGTACTGTATTTGGGAACCTATCCATCGTAGAGGCTTGAGGCAAAAAAAGTTCTTTTCTAAAACGGCCAAGAGAAAAATCTGGAAAATATTGTCCAGTTTCTGAAATGGCTGCAATCGTGAATCTAAAAAAGTGATGTTTCTGTGAATTCTGCTAACAACAAATACTCGATGATAATGTGAACTTTTTTTGTTTCACAATTTTTGCAGCCGGAATTGAAGCTGCGGTTTTGTCTACCCATGGGAGGCTTCAGGAATGCAAGGGTGATGGTCAGCATGTCGAGCATTTATGGAGGCATTTAAAAACCTTTCTTTTTCTAATTGGTCCTTTTTAGGGTCACAACTTGACAGGAAAAAAAATCCGTCAAAATTATACTAAGTGACATATAAGTCCGAACACCCAGTTTAAATGGTTTTATTAATTTATTTAATTTATTTATTTTATTTAATTTATTTAATTTATTCAATTTATTTAATTTATTTAATTTATTTAATTCATTTAATTTATTTAATTTATTTAATTTATTTAATTCATTCAATTTATTCAATTTATTTAATTTATTCAATTTATTCAATTTATTCAATTTATTCAATTTATTCAATTTATTCAATTTATTTAATTTATTTAATACATTTCATTTATTCAATTCATTTATTTATTTCCTCTAAACAAAAAACATTGCATAGGATTTGTCATGCATTTTGAAATCAAGAAAATCTATATCTAACAAAAACAGTCAAATATAAGTGACATATAAATCCGAATACCCAGTTTAAATGGTTTTATTTTAATAAAATTTTGTATAAGTACTTAATGAAGCATAATAAGTAAATGATAAAAATTTCAAATTGATTGCACTGCTTTAAAGCCCTTTGACCTTTAATAATGTGTGGATGCACCCTGATGTGCTACGCATTCTCCAACGCGCCTAGGCATGCTTCTGATCAGGTGGTCAATGTCCTCCTGTGGTATCTCATTCCAGGCAACCACCAACTCCTCTCGAAGTGCTTCTAGAGTCTGAGGAGGACGTTGCAAATTGAGCAATCTCCTACCCATCATATCCCACACGTGCTCAATTGGGGATAAGTCGGGAGATCTTGGTGGCCATGGTAACAATGTGACATCATTATGTTGAAAGAAGTCTATTGTGACTCTTGCAACATGTGGTCGGGCATTATCTTGTTGGAAAGTTGGATCTGCCAGGGTGTCAAGATAGGGTAAAAGATGGGGTTCTAGAACTTCGTGGATATAACGCTGCGCGTTCATGTTACCTCTGATGAAGATTAAAGGTGACCTGGAACCATAAGCTATAGCACCCCAAACCATAACTCCAACAGTGTGATGAACATGTCTTTCAACAAAAAACTGTGGATTCCTCCTTTCACCACGTCGCCTTCTAACCCTGGCACGACCATCGTGCATGCCTAAACAAAATCGAGACTCGTTACTAAAGACAATACTGTTCCATTCCTGATCCCAGAGTGACCGTTGTCTGCACCACTCAAGGCGATTACGTCGGTGTTCTCGAGTTAAAGGGAGGACCCAGTGTGGTCGGTATGAAAACAAGCCAAAACTTCTCATTCGTCGGTAAACACTTCGCATGCCAATAGGTCTTCCGTGTTCTGCAAACCATTCAGTTGCAATGGACCTGGTAGTGGAGAAACGGTCCCTTAAGGCCAATAATCTTAGGCGGCGATCTTCACGGTCTGTTGTTCTACGGCGGCGTCCAGTGCCCCTTGCTCTTTGCGTACGGCCTTCTCGAAGCCATGCCTGACAACACCTAACCACAGTGTCTACACTTCTTTGCACTCTAACTGCAAGTGCCCGAAAAGAAAGTCCAGCTTCCCGAAGTCCCACTATACGGCCCCTATCAAACTCAATAAGTTGACGAAATCTTACAGGTCTCCGTACTCTAGGCATCGTAACCGATCGTAAAGGATGTCAAGAACCAAAATCCGCCAACGTTTATTCTTTACTGCGGCTGAAATATACATTTTTAGAGCGTTAGTGAATTAAAAAAATGCAGTATAACAACCGGAATGTCCAACTGATAAGGCTGAAAATTTTTTCACTTGTTATTTACAGTAAGATAAATACATTCGCCAACTTTTATTAAAATAAAACCATTTAAACTGGGTGTTCGGATTTATATGTCACTTGGTATAGTTTAAAAGAATAAAAATGAAGGGATGATGAGATACATTTTTTTGGCCTAAATTTTAGGTAAGGATCAAGATGCGGTTTTCGCGAGCTCAATTAGCTACTTTCTTATAAAAAAAAAAATCATACCAATGCATTTAATTTTTGAGAGAAAGTTATCTATTTCATTTGGAATGTCGAAAAAAGCCCTCTAGCGGTCACATGTGAAACTAAAAAAACTTTAAATATTATAGCCTCTGTAGCCCAAGAATAGCTCTCTTCAAGTAGACTAGAGTTTCGAAGATACAGGGTGTTTTTTTACGGAAACCTTCGAATACCCCCACTACTTTATTTTTAGAGATACAGCAAAAATTGTCAAACAAAAAACGTTCAAATTATCCTGTCATTTAAAGATCAGTTTTTTTGTTAAGCTAAAATAGTGGAATCCACAGAAACTTCACTTTCTTAGATTCAAGATTGCAGTTACGCCATCTAGCGGTCGTTTCGGAAACTTGAAAGATTATCAAGGTTTTTCTCTTGGCCGTTCTAGTAAGAACTGCATTCTTAATTGGCCAACCTGTACATTCGATAGCGTAAATTTACCGAATAATCTACCACCATTACTTGTGGTACTTATGTTTCATAGTTCAGGAAATATTGTACAAGTAGATATACAAAAATTTGTCGACCGCTGAAGTTTTGTGTTTTCGCAACATTAGTGCGAAAATGTAACTTTGAAAGATACCTTTTAACACTTCCTGCTTGCTCGATTGCCGTTTTTCGAAGAACCATCAAATTGACAAATCAACTAGTCATCCTAAGTAGTTGATTCTATATATCATTGAAAAATTTCAGTTGTCTGCAACTTTGTCGCGATCGCAACTAACTTTTTGTATATCATGTCATTTGAATCGTCTCTTTTTTTTGTCTAGCTGACGTCATGCGGAGTCTAGGTGCAAACCACATCCTCGCCGTGGACGTGGGCTCTGTCGACGACCAAGATTTGACCAATTACGGCGACGATTTATCCGGCTGGTGGCTACTGTGGAAACGATGGAACCCGTTTGCTTCACCTGTCAAGGTTCCCAACCTGCCTGACATCCAGTCTCGGTTGGCGTACGTCAGTTGCGTGAGGCAGCTAGAGGTTTGTATTCTGATATCATCGTAGTCACCGTTCTGGTAGTCTTACTTTGACCCGCCAAGACCGGTGACGACAACTATAGCTGTTTTTGAATAGATAGAAAATACAGAATCTATAGTCAACGCCAAACAAAGTGGCGTGCACGTCATCAAGGTGGGTGTGTTGAAAAATTTACATTGTTGCCAAACTTTTTGTAAAATAATAAAATTTATTATTTACATATCTAGGTTTATACGCAATATTAACCTCAAATGAGAACAAAAATAATAGTATAATAAAATTATAGATCTGTACTTGCATAATCATTAAGTATGACAATTATTGATCAGATGACACTATGAAACTACCATATTTAATTGATAGCTTAAAGGTACTGAATAAAAATCCAAATGGGGTCCTCCAAATTTTATGCATGGTATTTATTTTACAGAATTCATACAGAAAAATGCATTCTAAAATTAGGTAAGCTACTGGTGTAAGCTTTTTCTGTACAATAAAGTTAGTCGGAGTTTCTTTCTTCAGCGCTGTCTGAATCTAAATCTTCGTCACTCTCAAAGTTGATTATTAAAGGTTCGATGTCTGGTCGATCAAAAATTCGTTCTCTTTCATACCATTTAAAAATTTCTTGCTCAGTATGTCGAACACTATTTTTCCACATGTCTGGGGTAACCGTTTGTAGAGCCTCGTTCCACATATCCAAACAGTCTTTTTCACTGTTACCATCCCTACCAATATGTCTGTTATAGTAACCTTTTGCTATGCCCCAAATTAACTCAATAGGGTTAAATATACAATGGTAAGGAGGCAGGCGAAGAACTTTGTGCCCATGTTGTTCCGCCAATTCATCAATCACGTATATTTTAGGTGGTTTGTTTCTAAAAAAGCAGTTATTTTAAGAATAGGAATAAACAAAAGAAATATAAACTGTCGACCAAAATATATATAATTAAGAAGCATTATGTTCCGAGCAACAATACTCAATAGCTCTGTTTTAAACATTGTGTTTAAAAATGGTATGTTTTGATTTGTCAACCAGTCATGCATATTTTTTTTTGTCCATGCATTGTTGCGCACTTTGTTCAATATCATGCTGTGATAAGGGGCGTTATCCAGTATAATCATAGATGGACTCTCCAATTTTTCTAATAACTGATGTTGAAACCATTTCAAAAAATTGTCCTGGTTCATCTCTCCATGGTAATCGCTCAGTTTTGTTTTCGAAGAAAATATCGCTTCACTACCCTCAATAAACCCATTTTCATTTCCAGCATGTAATATAATGTATCTAAAATATATTAGTTTTAAATTTTATAGTGCAAATTGTGTAAAAGTACATACCTTTTACCATCTGTTTTAATAGCTTTCACGCTTTTTTGGTTTCCATTTTGCCAAGAGCGACCTATGGTCCCATTTTGAAATATCCAAGTTTCATCGAGGAAGACAAACTTGTATAAGGCCTCAACCTTGGCTTGATTGTATTGCCTTAGAAATTCCACCCTTTTCAAAGCTATACTTGCTAGTTCCATGAGCCCTCGTCGCGGATTGTCCTTAAGCCACTTAAATCCAAGATCTCTAAGCAACCGCCTTAAAGACGTGGCACTACCATCAAATAATGCCCTATCTCTTAATCGAGACCATAAAGTTTGTATCGTAACTTGTTCTTCTGAAACCATGTGTAATATGACATTATAATTTAGTTAACAAATTAATGCAAATTTCTGATAAGTTATTATAATAAGATCTTACTTTTGTGATACATATTATAGATCACTTCTCGAATGGCACTTGTATCCAATGTCGCTGTGTTGGTTACACGTTTAATATAACTCCGCTTTTTCTTGGGCGATTCTAAATTTGCATCACTTTTCACACCCTCGGAAATACGACTAACAACTAATTTTTAAAGCAGCAGCAACACGCTACAAAAAATGAAATAAAATTTCACTATTATTAATATACATTACATATAATTATTAGTAACCTACCTCTTGAACAGCATTTAAAGGCAACAAAGCCCCGTTGTTGTCCCTTTCTTGCTCAAAGTAGTGCATTAACGAGGCCACGAGTTCCTTACACCGACTATTTAACTGTTTGGGCATCTTTATATACCAAAATTGCCTTTATCTACTCGTAAAATGAATAATTTTGTTTTGAAACAAACAGTTGTTGATTTACAGTATGCGGGGCCAAAGGATTTATAAAGATTTGAAATGCCACAAATTGATTCAGTGTCAAAATTAATACAAATGTCAGTTCCCAGTTTAAATAAGTTTCAAGGTGACAATGTGTCAACGCTGCGAAATCGGTTTAGTGCGTTTACATGTCGATAAGTGACAGAAAGCAACTTATGTGATATTTTAATAACAATGTTTATATGACTATTAACCATAATAAGAGAGTAATGACCATTTTTACAATTTATATATCACATTAATATGAAACTGCAATAGAGCAATTGTTTGTGATAGAAACCTAGGCATTAGGTCGGGGAATTTTTATCGTGATGACGTGCACGCCACTTTGTTTGGCGTTGACTATAGAGCCAGAACAATCTCAACACACGTAACAAAATGATACAATAATAAAATGATTAAAAAATTATGGCTTCATATTCAAAGATGCATTGACGCTCAAAAACGCGTGTCTCATAAGATAGCTTTTAACTTCCGCTTTGAATTGTTTGTAGCTTCTGAGTGTCCTAATACTGTGCGGTAAACTGTTTTGCAAGCCGCGAAAAGGAAAAACATCGTCGAAATTACGTAATGTCCTTTCTGCAGGAAGTGAAAAACAGCGACTATTGCGAGTACATCCGTCCGCCCATCGACCAATACAAAACGCTACAATTCGGGGCGTTCGACGAGATCCGTGAAGTGGGCTACAGGCACGCGAAGGCTTACTTCGAGGGCCAAACGAGGGCCGGAATTCTGCCCTTGTTCAGGTACAACGTCACGCAGGGTGATGCAGAACAGGACAGGCACAAAGCGCAACACTCGCTGGGCAGTTATACGTTCACCGATTTGGCGCAGATGGTCTGCAAAGTGTCAAGGTATGCTCACATTTATGGTGCGTTTATTCGCGATGACAGCCTCGGATTTGTGGTTAAGAACAATTTGAATTTTAAAATGACAATCATGGAGTCTGGGTGGACTAACGAAAAGGTCGCACCGCCATTTGTGACTCGCCTGGTATATTTTGATTTTGGAAAAATGCTCGGACACGTCCATTTTCATTTCTATGCGGACGTCTTCTCATCTATTGTTGGCTATGTATATATATATATATATATATGATGATATATATATAGGTGAAAAATTAAAGCTTCCGCCTTTTGTTGGGTACTTCGACAAAGAGGACTCTTTATACTTTTTTTAATTCTCTCTAGCTTTCAATGGACTTTGCCATCATCATCAGGAGCTGCAATTACAATGATAACAGTAGCAACAAAAGTGTAAAATGAATTTAAATTGAATCAACTTACAGTAGTATGTGAGGATGTTGCTAATTGTTGTTTTCGTATAGGATGAGGGAAAACAATTAGCAACATCCTCACATACTACTGTAAGTTGATTCAATTTAAATTCATTTTACACTTTTGTTGCTACTGTTATCATTGTAATTGCAGCTCCTGATGATGATGGCAAAGTCCATTGAAAGCTAGAGAGAATTAAAAAAAGTATAAAGAGTCCTCTTTGCTTAAATTTTGTCGAAGTACCCAACAAAAGGCGGAAGCTTTAATTTTTCACCTAACTGGTCTAGACGACAATGACTACGTCTCAAGTTATATATATATATATATATATATATGGGCAGTAGTCATTGCCATTGCCAACGACCACTTGCGCAAAAAATACAATTAATTGTTAATTCAATCAATAAGCCCAATGTGTCCGTCCGGTTGGTTTTATATTTGTAACAAGTGCTCTCATCCCCGCGTTCGTTTTGAAACACCATTTGGCTGCAACCTCAACGACGAGTAAGCTGTTTGACAATTTAAATCTTTCCCGTATTGGTTGCTAGCATCATAATTGTGTTTTCAGCTCCTGATGAAGGCTCCATATTGCCGAAAGCTAGAGATTACCGTCAAAAGAGTTAATTAAAGCCTAAAAAGTTTGCCAATTTCCCAATTAACAATTAATTGTATATATATATGTATATATATACATGGTGACTTCGAAGTTGAGTCATTTATTTTAACAGTGAGTAGATCTGATCAAAAGAAATGTTTTTTTCCTTTACCATTTTTCTGGTAAAATTGAAGTAACAAAGTTATAGCCCTTTGGAAGTTTGAGTACCGCCCTGTCTCAATAATAATATTATGTGCTCGTGTTTGGCAACAACGGATATAATCCGCCTTATCGGTTCATCGCATCGGAAACAAAAAAGCGAAAGAATTTTCAACGATGTTTTTACAATTATTTTATTCAGTTGTATACAGTCAGTGAGAGAACGGAGAACGAAGAATCACATTTTGTCAGTGGATTCTTGATAGAACTGATAATAATAGGGAGTTTTTAAGTAACGTTTTATGGACTGATGAGTCATGCTTCACTAGACGTGGAGTGGTAAATTTTCATAATCAACATATTTGGTCGCATGAAAATCCGCATGTAGTTCCGGAAAGAAATTTTCAGCATGAATTTAGTGTGAACGTGTGGATTGGTATCTACCGTAATCGGCTATTTGGACCCTAGCTTTTGCCTACAAGGTTAAATGCTGCGATCTTCTTGGAATTTTTAAAGGCTGAACATGCAAATATGTGGGATGATGTTATGTTAGATTTAAGAAGATTGGCCTGGTTCCAGCTTGATGGTTGTCCAGCTCATTATTCGAGAATAGTTAGAAACTGGCTGGACGAAAATGATCCAGAAAGATGGATCGGCCGTGGAGGACCAGTCGCCTGGCCTCCACGATCCCCTGACCTAAATCCATTAGATTTCTTTGTGTGGGGATTTCGAAAAAGAAAAAGTGTACCAGACTCCCGTAACCATAAGAGATATGCTAATAGACATAATCAGGAATGTATGTGATGAAATAAGGCCTTATTTGAATAATGCTATATACCACGTTCGATCATTCGTAGATGTGAATTGTGTATTGAATAATTGGGTTTACATTTCGAGCAACTACTTTAGATTTTGTATGTTTGTCCTAACTATCTAAGAGCATGTTAGTTGTAAATAATTAATTTAATTTGTTAAAAATAATATTGGAAAATTAAACAAATTAATATTCTGTTTATTTTGTGTTTATTTGGAGTTAGGAATTATTGCTGTGTTTAAAAACACAATCTAAATGATCATCTTAATTACTTGTAATACCCAAATCGAAAATGTAAAAAAAAATATTATTTTCCCAGAAATAACTAAAAATGCATCGAACCTTAAAAATCGAAATATCTCAAAAACGGCCAACTATAACGAAAACTCACAAGAGAGCTTTTTTATGTTGAAAAGTGCGAAGAATCATTTTTTTTATTCAAAAAGCAAAAAATTGCACTAAGAAAAATTTTTCGGTCATTTTAATATACTACAGGTACAGTAGAGAGCGCCCTCTAGCGGCTATAGTAAAACTATGCCCATGGTTCGTTTTGTCGTACCAAAAAACCCTTGTATACCAATTTTCACTGTTATACATCAAATATTGTTCGAAATATTTAAAAAAAACTATTTTAAAAAGTAAATTTAAACACCCTATATTTCGGAAGCTACGCATTTTTCGACCCATGTTTATATAGACTTTATGCATTAATTTAAAAAAAACACCCTGTATATATAGAAGGCCTTTTCTTTGGGATATCGACAAATTTTGCTAAGTGTACCCTTTTTACTTACAATACTCAAGCTTTCGACAGACTATGTTGCCATCATCAGGAGTCCGTCAATGTGAATGGTGCAAGTATTTGACGTTAAAAAATGTTAAAGAGGACACATGGTAAGGTGATAAAAAACTGGGTCTACGTCAAAAACGATGCAACAACATGACTGTGTTTTAATACTCCACTGCAGAGGGGAGGGAAATTTTCAACTTTAAATGCTAGCGTGGTCGAAAATTTCTAAGCTCTCTTGAATGAAAAAAAATTATCTAATTAATTTTTGTCCAAATCCTTCTTCAGTGAAGTATTAAAACACAGTCTTGTTGTTGCATCGTTTTTTGACGTAGATCCAGTTTTTTGATCACCTTGCCATGTGTCGACATCGTTTACATTTTTTAACATCGAATACTAGCACCATTCACACTGGTGGACTCTTGATGATGGCAGCATAGTCTGTCGAAAGCTTGAGTATTGTAATTCAAAAGGGTACACTTAGCATAATTTATCGATATCCCAATGAAGCAGTCTTCCATTTAACTGGTTATTACGACAATAACTATGAATCGTATATATATAATGCTAGAATTATCTCAAAATTATTTATGTTCCATGATTCTTGATTTCCTTTGTTCTAGGCCGTATGAAGAAGAAGATTCCACCTCGAGCTCTTCTGATGAAGACGAACGAGGAGGTTATGCGTCAGAACCTACTGTTGGAGTATCCGATGTAAGTATGCTGACTTTCAGTCTAAACACTTTGGACCTTTGATGTGTCTCATAGCAAACTGTGACGAAATGTCTTCAATTTAATTGGAATTAGGAACAATTTATATTGTCTTTTGAATAATTACATGTGCTTTAAACAATTTGCTGTGAGACCTGTTGTTGAACTTCGCTTATGTATGCTTGATTTCGTTATACAGGGTGTTAATTAGCATTTAATAGTAGATTCTTTGAGTTATTTTAAGACAAAAGGTTCATATAAACATTCTCAAGAAATAGGGTGTGAAAATTAAAAATTTTTTTCGTAAATATCCTAAATATCCTTTACCTAAATTTGTTGTGATTTGGTGTGTATAACATTAAAGCGCTAATTCAGCCATAAATTAATTAAATTTATTAAGTCCAGTGGCGTCTCGAGCGGGGTCTGAAGGAATATTTGTGACCAAAAAATATATGCCTCTAACTTTTGTGCAATTTTTATTTTGTCCATTGGATTAAGCAAATAAAAATACAACTTTTTTGTCTCTTGAATTTCTTTCGTATCTTCCTTACTTTTCGAGAAAAAAGAAGTCCACTAATTGCACATGAATATGAACAAAATTTACTTTTGGAAATTAGTAAAATTCATTAGTTTAAATGTTGATGTAATGTAATTTAATTCAGTGTTTATTTATTGTTGTTACAGAATTAGTAATAAAAAATTATAAAAAGATGGTACTTTCCAAAAAAACTGATTCCCATATTTCTTGTGTGGTCCACCGATATGCAATTAAGTGGACTTTTTTTTCTCGAAAACCAAGCAAGATACGAAATAAGTTCAAGAGACAAAAAAGTTGTATTGATATTTGCTTAATCCAAAGAACATAATAAAAATTATACAAATGTCAGTGACGTATAATTTTTTGTCACAAATATTCGTTCAGAGGCGCCACTGTACTTGATAAATTTAGGGCTAAATTATTTCCTTAATGTTATAAATACCACCGCCAAATTGCAAACACAATTGCAACCATTACAATTAATGGAGTAGACAGTATCGGTTGAGCCATGATTACATTAACCAATTTTGCCAAGTGGTGACTCTTAATTTTACATCAACAATATAATTCAACAAAAATAATATTTTTACAATAAATTCCGAAACTTCTCTATTACGTTTTGTACTAAAACTAACGTTCCTCTTGACGTATCACACACATTTTGTTTTTTTAACAAAAAAAACAGTTTCCCTTCTGCTGCGTGAACGAAAATGATACCAACGCAAAACTGTATAACCTCTCGACCACGCCAGCATTTTTAGGTTATTCAAAAATGTAAATTTGAAAAGTTGATTGGAAAAAATGTATCTGATTAATTGTTGTATTCTGCAGTGGAGTAATATAACACAGTCATGTTGTTGCATCGTTCTTTGACGTAGATCCAGTTTTTTATCACCTTACCATGTGTCCTCTTTTACATTTTTTAACATCGAATACTAGCACCATTCTCACTGACGGAGTAGGTAAAATGATTTCTAATCAATTGAGCGTGGTTGCTATTTTACTATATACTCAATATCTTAAATATCCTTTACGTAAATTTGTTGTGATTTGGTGTGTATAACATTAAAGCGCTAATTCAGCCATAAATTAATTAAATTTATAAAGTCCAGTGGCGTCTCGAGCGGGGTCTGAAGGAATATTTGTGACCAAAAAATATATGCCTCTAACTTTGGTGAAATTTTTATTATGTTCATTGGATTAAGCAAATAAAAATACAACTTTTTTGTCTCTTGAATTTTTTTCGTATCTTCCTTACTTTTCGAGAAAAAAGAAGTCCACTAATTGCACATGAATATGAACAAAAGGTACTTTTGGAAATTAGTAAAATTGATTAGTTTAAATGTTGATGTAATGTAATTTAATTCAGTGTTTATTTGTTGTTGTTACAGAATTAGTAATAAAAAATTATAAAAAAGATGGTACTTTCCAAAAAAACTTTTTCCCATATTTCTTGTGTGGTCCACCGATATGCAATTAAGTAGACTTTTTTTTCTCGAAAACCAAGCAAGATACGAAATAAGTTCAAGAGACAAAAAAGTTGTATTGATATTTGCTTAATCCAAAGAACATAATAAAAATTACACAAATGTCAGTGACGTATAATTTTTTGTCACAAATATTCGATCAGAGGCGCCACTGTACTTAATAAAATATAATATATAATAATATAATAAATTTAGGGCTAAATTATTTCCTTAATGTTATAAATACCACCGCCAAATTGCAAACAAAATTAGGTAAAGGATATTTAAGATATTTACGAAAAAAAATTTTTTTATTTTAACTTCATGTATCTTGAGAACGAAGAGTTTGCTTATATGAACTTTTTGTCCTAAAAATACTCAAAGAATCGTCTGTTAAATTTACAGCATATACTTAACACCCTGTACAGTACTAATCAACACTTTATGTCGTGTTTACACGTTTTTGAGTAGAGTTGCTTACAACTGATCGTCAGATTGCCAAATTCTGTAAAATTTTGTAGTATTTGTAAAACTCGTACATTTGTCAGGTGTTTGTTTAGCTTCGTCTGCAAATTGTCGGACTTATATAGTGAGATAAAAGAATATTAAAAGCAACTGTTTGATTATTCAGTATTCAAGGCAAATGAGTTGGCATGGAACCCTACCTACACCTTCACCTTAGGAAAACGAACAGTCACTTAAGTACGTATTTGATATTTGTTAGCTATACATTTGGATCTTTGGATACATAGATCCATTCAATATGGCCAAATTTCCGTTTAAAGAAACATATTTTGAACTGGTGCATAATTTTCGTATTCAGTAGAACCGCATTTTAATGTTCGGCTTTTTGAAAATACTCATTTTATAATTTATGGTATTTTCATATAGTACGGAATCCAATTAAGCTCGACCATCACCGTCCCGAAGACCGAACGAAAAGTCATGTGAAATAAAATATGTTGAAAAAAGTGTTAGTAATAAGGAAATCCTTCACGGCCTATTTTTAACTGAAAGATGATGGATGGCATTCATTAATTTCAGAGCCTTGAAGTTAAGAGAAACGAGTTATTTCTTATTTTGTAGCGCTCGGTATTTGTAGCAAAACACTCAGGCACGAATACTAGAGATAGGTAAATTGAGCATAACCTGTCACATCTTTTATTTTGAGCAAGATTTTGAAATATTTTTTAATGTACCTTATGGTTGTATGCTTACATCAATGATGCATTTTTGAGTTTTTGACTATTTAACTCATGTATATGAACTTTACCAGCTCTCGTTTATACCATTTCACGAGTATCCATCTCGCTGTGACTTCTACTGAGTCTGCGACATTGGCTATAATGAATCTGGTGTAAATCTAGCAAAAATTTGTTTGTAGCGTATAAAAAAAAAACAAAACAAAAAATTGTGTGTCCTTTGCTGATATGGGGAATTTGTAAATAGTACTATTCTTCAACACATCCTTCCAAGCTCATATCTCAATCATCGCGTATATTTTGTTCATGTTCTTGTTTCCGTACATATATGGACTAAAAAAATCATTTAATATTATTATCTGACCTATCAATACATTTTTCATAACCACGTGCTCGTGCTCAGTTGCTGACTTAAAAGTTCTTGCCGTGGAAAATGATGTGGAAAAAATTTCCAAATTCGACGTGAAAAACTAGCGTAAACAGGTAACGACATATGAAGTCTGTAAATTAAGTGATGAGACTGGTATTTTCGATTTTTTTATCTAAATATAACTACAATTTTATAAATAACTTCCTTCTTAGGGATATCGGTAAATTAAGCTAAGTGTACCCTTTTGACTTACAATACTCAAGCTTTCGTCGGACTATGCTGCCATCATCAGGAGCTAAAAAACAAATTGAAAATAGTAAAATAGCAACCATGCTCAATTGATTAGAAATCATTTTACTTACTCCGTCAGTGAGAATGGTGCTAGTATTCGATGTTAAAAAATGTAAAAGAGGACACATGGTAAGGTGATAAAAAAACTGGATCTACGTCAAAGAACGATGCAACAACATGACTGTGTTACAATATTCCACTGCAGAATACAACAATTAATAAGATACATTTTTTCCAATCAATTTTTCAAATTTACATTTTTGAATAACCTAAAATGCTGACGTGGTCGAGAGGTTAGACAGTTTTACGTGAAGTTGGTATCATTTTCGTTCACGCAGCAGAAGGGAAACTGTTTTTTTGTTAAAAAAAACAAAATGTGTGCGATACGTTAAGAGGAACGTTAGTTTTAGTACAAAACGTAATAGAAAAGTTTCGGAATTTATTGTGAAAACATTATTTTTGTTGAATTATATTGTTGATGTAAAATTAAGAGTCACCACTTGGCAAAATTGGTTGATGTAATCATGGCTCAACCGATACTGTCTACTCCATTAATTTTAGTGGTTGCAATTTGATATACATAGGTGAAACTTTTCATAACCACGTGTTCGTGTTCACTTGGAAGAATTTTCCAAATTCGAGGTGAAAAACTAGCGTATACAGATAACGACATACGAGGTCTGTAAATTAAGTGATGAGACTGATTTTTTGGATTTTCCCTTCAGCCGTTTGAATGATTTCGACTTTTCCAAAACGAGTTCCATTCAAGTGATTTTTCAATTTCGCGAAGAGAAAAAAGTCACAAGGACTCAAGTCGGGCGAAGAAGGACGCTGTTTTTATTGGCCAAAAAAAATCGATTCAGTTACTTTATTTGGTCAATGTCACTTATGGTCCACGATATACCCTGCGATGGAATTAAAAAGAAGCACATACTTATCTATCGCACTTTTAATAAATAATAGGTTGTTTAGGATTTCTTTAGATAGCTGACACTTTTAACGTTTTATTATGGTGAATGTCGAGCTCAATATGGATCTTGGACTAATAATAATAGTAATTTTGATTTCTTATTATAGAATAACAAGGAAATCCTACGGAGGCAAGGCGGATCATTATCACTGTCAGAGAACGAGATGGAGTCCGACGTAGACTTTGAACTGAGTAAGAGCCAATTCGAAAAAAGAAGAGCAAGTGGAGTTGGCAGTAATTAGGGAAATATTTTGAATGTCGTTTTATCGAATGTAGGAAAAATGTGCTGTTTCCATTTGATTTGTGTTACTAGGCGTATTTTATATTTCAATTTATACAGTAATATAAAGCAGATCTCTGTATATATTTTTTCTATATTTAAATATATGGTAAATACAGAAAAATTATCGTTTTAATTATTAACCACATTATTTAACACAACCCTGTTTGGATGCTACCAATGTTAAAAATTGGGAACGTGATCGGTGCTGGGATCTTGGTAAGTATCTTACTGATATGCCAACAGCTTTTGCTTTTCTGAACTCTGAACAGTAGCGGTACTTCTGCATTTAGGTTCGTTCCAACCACTGATGTACTTCCTGGTTCATTTCGGTGAACTAGTTCAATAGGTCACGTTCGGTAAAACGAACTAGTTCGCATGCGAACGCCACCTCTCATCCGATCGCCTGATCTAAGCAACGTCGGATGCGGTTAAGACTTGTTGACTTATTTCGATCGTAAACCATCTTACAGTAAAAAAAATTACGAATTTTAAATAGTTAACAGTCATAAATGTCCATTCGAGATGGCTTTACATGACGAGGTTTCAAAGTGCAATCACGCCACATTTGTAAGTCTCAAATTAAAAATATACCTACCCAGTCTGGTTCTAAAAACTTACGAGATCTAATACAAAACGGTTCGGACATTATCTTAAAAATGATTTTTTTAAGGTTACATTTTTTTCTTTTACCTATACAGGGTGTCCCAGAAGTCGACGTCAAGCCGAAACCGGGTGATAGGCAAAGTCATAACAGCTATCAGAAAAATATTTAAAAATTTTTTATGTATGTGGTTTGAAAATTATAGGTCTTTGAAAAAGATATAGGAATTTCACACCCTACGGCAGTCTGCCAACTCCTGTTACTACAAATATTAACTATTTTGGATTTTATTTTTACAATGTAATGATGAATAATGCATCTTCAAACTGGTGTCTCAACCTTACTGCCAACTTTTCTCGTTCAGGAAAAATTGCCACTTATTTCCCAACCAAGTATTCCAAAGTAAAACTTCGCTCAACTTTAACTGGCTGTACTGGAAAAAAATGTACTACGAGAGTTTGGCAAGTAACCTTAAAAGTTGGCGCATTTAATAAGGATTCCAAAATGGTATAACACTTAGAAGATTACTCGTTAACTTATGCACAATTTTTATTTGAAGAAAAATGATGAAAATTTTTCAAAATTTCCTAATCAAACAGCGATTATGAAAACGCACAAGGACCCTTAAGGATAACTGTTTGCACAACAGTGGGCGTCAAAATGCTGCTGATGATGATTTACCTTTACAGCAAATGCTTAAACTGTTTTCCTTCAGCCGCAATACACGCTCGACATCTTCTTAAAAAAGATCGGGTTATTAAACGAGCGAATCCACGGTTAATAACAAACTCAGCTGCTTCCAATAGTCTTTGCCGTAGCTCACCTACATTTTGAATCGGCTTGAAATACACTTTTTCTTTCACAGTTCCCCAGTCAAAAAAATCTAACGGATTCAAATCTGGTGACCGGGCTGGCCACGGTATTGTACCAGACCGCCTTATCCATCTGCCTGGAAAGTTTTGATCGACATACTCTCTCACTGAGAGTGCATAGTGCGCTGGGCAGCCATCATGCTGAAACCACATGTCCCTGTAAATACTCAGTGGCACGTCCTCCAATAAATTTTCTAAATGATTTTGCAAAAAACCTAAATAAACCTCAGCAGTCAAAGTCTCTGGGAGCTCAAACGGACCGATTATTTTACGATTTAAAATTCCTGTCCAATGGTTTATCTTGAAGCGACGTTGAGATTTATCTTCTCTCATCAAATGTGGGTTTGCTACGTGCCACTCGTGTAAGTTATGCAGGTTCATGTACCCATATTTCTTAAATGTGGTCTCATCTGACCATACATTTTTTTCAAAGAACCGTGGATCTTCCCTGTGTCTTTCTAACATTGTGCGACAAAAAGCAACTCGGGGCTCATAATCACGCGGCAGAAGAGCTTGAACACGCTGTACGTGGTATGGATGGAGCACGTTTTTTTGCAAGATTCCATGGGCTGTACTTTTGGGCACACCTGTTTTTAGTTCTATTGCACTCACTGAAGTACTCGAGTCTTCTTCGACAGCTCCTAGCACCACGTCTTCGTAAGGAAGGAAATATCTTCCCTCACCGAGTGATTGGTTTGGTAGTTGGCCCTCTGAGAACAGTAAGCGGTGCACATTTGTGAACACTCTCACAGTAAAGTCTCGCTGCAGCACTAGCGTTGCATCTGCATTCCCCATAAACGAGGTGCATGTTAGCATATTCTTGTACGGTGTACACGGACATAGCGGCACTGCACAATCTCACTATCAAAGATAGTCTAAGGAAAGCAAATGTTATTTTGAAGAGCAATGAAACAGTCCAAATCCAAATCACATGCGATCAACAGTCCAGTTCACGAAAATTAGTTACAGTACGAAATCAACAAGCACGAACATGTAAAGATGCGCAGTAAACGGAGTACTGATCGGTATCAAAGTGTGCAATAGTAAGTGATGTGCTTCATCCATACCACACACAGCGTGTTCAACCTCTCCTGCCCCGGGATTATGACCCCCAGTTGCTTTTTGTCGCACAATGTTAGAAAGATCCACAGTTTTTTGAAAAAATTTTATGGTCGGATGAGACCACATTTAAGAAAGATGGGTACATGAACCTGCATAACTTACACGAGTGGCACGTAGCAAGCCCACATTTGATGAGAGAAGATAAATCTCAATATCACTTCAAGATAAACCATTGGACAGGAATTTTAAATGGTAAAATAATCGGTCCGTTTGAGTTCCCAGAGACTGCTGAAGTTTATTTGGATTTTTTGAAAAATCATGTACAAAATTTATTGGTGGACGTGCCACCGAGTATTTACAGGGACATGTGGTTTCAGCATGATGGCTGCCCAGCGCACTATGCACTCTGAGTGAGAGAGTATCTCGATCAAAACTTTCCAGGCAGATGGATAGGGCGGTCTGGTACAATACCGTGGCCAGCCCGGTCACCAGATTTGAATCCGTTAGATTTTTTTTACTGGGGAACTGTAAAAGAAAAATTGTATTTCAAGCCGATTCAAAATGTAGCTGAGCTACGGCAAAGACTTTTGGAAGCAGCTGAGTTTGTTAATAACCGTGGATTCGCTCGTTTAATAACCCGATCTTTTTTAAGAAGATGTCGAGCGTGTATTGCGGCTGAAGGAAAACAGTTTGAGCATTTGCTGTAAAGGTAAATCATCATCAGCGGCATTTTGACGCCCACTGTTGTGCAAACAGTTATCCTTAAGGGTCCTTGTGCGTTTTCATAATCGCTGTTTAATTAGGAAATTTTGAAAAATTTTCATCAGTTTTTCTTCAAATAAAAATTGTGCATAACGAGTAATCTTCTAAGTGTTATACCATTTTGGAATCCTTATTAAATGCGCCAACTTTTAAGGTTACTTGCCAAACTCTCGTAGTACATTTTTTTCCAGTACAGCCAGTTAAAGTTGAGCAAAGTTTTACTTTGGAATACTTGGTTGGGAAATAAGTGGCAATTTTTCCTGAACGAGAAAAGTTGGCAGTAAGGTTGAGACACCAGTTTGAAGATGCATTATTCATCATTACATTGTAAAACTAAAATCCAAAAAAAGTTAATATTTGTAGTAACAGGAGTTGACAGACTGCCGTAGGGTGTGAAATTTCTATATTTTTTTTTAAAGACCTATAATTTTCAAAACACATACATAACATTTTTTAAATATTTTTCTGATAGCTGTTATGACTTTGCCTATCACCCGGTTTCGGCTTGACGTCGACTTCTGGGACACCCTTTATATTTGTTTTTAGGATATAATATTAATGAAATCATTATATAGTAATATGATATTAAACTATAAAACTTAACTAATGATAACATTAATTCTGGCTTGCATAGTTTCAACAAGCTTTTCGCAGACTTCCGCCTTAAAAGAATCCAATGTATTTTGTAATTTTACTCGTAAATTAGAAATGTTTCGTTGTGGATCATTTCTTAACTGCTGCTTCATTTTCGATAATATTTGAATTAGGGCTACTGGAAAGCCAGTCAAGGACGGAAATATACTGCAACCATTTTTTCGTGGTTTTGACCGTATGACGTGTCGCCCGATCTTGTTGGTAAATAAAGTTTCTATCAGGTGATAAAATTGGCAACTGGCAAATTGGTTTCAAGGATATTTTGATATTTACCTGCGTTTACAATTGTTACAAAGCACATTCTGTAACAATTTACGAACGCAGCCCTATAAATCACTTTTCAAGTACAAATGCAATTTGTCGTTGTCGTATATGTAGTTTCATTTAGCGACCACACAAACACGGAAGATTACCGTTTTCCTAAACTCCATATTGATTTGAATCGCTCAAGTAAAAAATGAATTTTGATCGTGAAACGTGGCAACGTTGCGATCCGGTTGGTTCCACTCTCGCTGGGCATCATCGGTGGTTGTATGCCGTCCAGCGTCCAGCCCGGGGCCGATCTGTGACCTAAACAGAGTCGCTGACATACTCACGTACAGTTAAGCTTGGCGCGGCTGGCCGGTGGTATACATCCAGTAATGATGACACCGGATGACATAGCACAGTCGATAAGTTTTGGATGCAGGATGGCGACTAACTCTGGATGGTAGGGTGGCGACAGCTGTGCTGAATGACGTATGCTGCAGCGTCAGTGTAGCTCGGCAAGGGTATTACAGTCGAAATCACGAAAGATGACGATTACGTCATCATTTTAGTCTGTACTAAAGACAAACGATAGCGATTTGTGAATATTTTTAATGAAGTTTCAGATATGTTAGACAGAGACAAACCTAATTTTATGGTCTAAACAAACTGTATTGCTAATTTGCATGTATCCGACAAAGATAGACGATGTTTTCATGTTGCATGATCGATCATATTTGAAAGATGAATAGTTAGGTTATGTTAAAGCAGGTTAGGTTATTTTCGACTAATACTTTGGTCTTTGGTGTTCCTGTCTTAAGGTATTCTAGTCATAACAGTTGTTTTTTCAAAACAAAAACTCTTCACTAAAATTATTATGAAGGTATCACTCAAAACCATGAAATAAAATAAAAATAATTAGTGATATAAATCTGTTGTCTTGTCATTATGTACCTGACAACGTGATTTTATCATTGACGTACGTCCATTGATTACTTCAGTACAATTTATGGTATGACGTAATAGTCATCTTTCGTGATTTTGACTATACCTATCTTGAAAAGTGACATAACCTAGGTTTTTTGACATAACGTAAGTTCTTCTACAATATGTTAACATAGCACTAGCTGATGGACACTTGTTGTGAACTCGTTTTGTCGTTGTACGTGTTGCCTAAACGTCATGATGCTTAAGTTATCAATGTTTGACTCTCATTTGACGTAACATCTGCTTCAGAGATGGTATTATTGGAGGTCTAAGCTGTGAGTTGTATACTATAGATGGAAGGAAACGGCAGTGCATAGTGAGGATTTGTGTGCTAATAAATGTGTTGCTGATATTTCCATTGGTTTCTTGTCTCAAATACGTCTACTTGAGATTCAAAGCTAGAAATTAAATCCACTTTTACTCATTCATCTTGGAAATTACATATGCAAATTTGCTGGATTCAAAAATGAGAGAGATACGAAAACAAAATCCCTGGTTGGCGAGGTAACACGTGAGAGAATATGCTACAGACAGGAATATTTATGAAAGTTATTACATTACTTTTTATTTGCAGTCATTTAAATTTTATAGGCATTTATTTTGCGATGTCAATAGAAAATACAAATCAGCGTCTACGTATATTCAGATAAGAGATAGACCGGATGTAAACAAAAGGTTCGGGTGATTTTCACGCTAACGCCGCCGTCTCGACGTAAAACAGGAGCCCTCATTGGTCAATTCGCAATTAAATGCCTATGCCGAGCGGCAGAGCAGTCGTATCAAGGCAGAGTCACATTCAGGTTCAGACGTGTTACGTATGTCGTGTGCATCATTGCAATTTGATATTTCTTTGGACGTTTTCGTTTGTTATCTTATTAAGTTGTTGAGTTTGTCGTTGTTATTGTTATACCTTGTTATTGATTGTTATTGTTATCAACTGCTTGCGCAAAATGCCCAGTAGTACAGATACTGCCGATGAAGTTGTAAACTCCTGTAGTCCACCTAGGAAACGCTCTAAAAAAAGACACCTGAGTGCAGAAATGAAAGAGGTCATTTTGAATATATATAAGATCGAGCGCGAGGAGAACGAGGCATCAACCATCAAAGAAATTGTTGTGAAGGTTTCTCACAAAGTTGGGGTGTGTCGCGCATCAGTGTTTAATGTATTAAGACAATACAAAAAAATCACACCTTTTCTGAGCCAATGACCAGTAAACATCGCAAAAGTATTGTTAAATCATTGGATGAAGCTGATAAGCATGCGATTAGGAGGAAAGTGCATGAATTATTCTTTAGGAATGAAATACCTACTATAGATAAAGTACTGCAGGAGGTAAATGGAGATACAACGTTGCCAAATTTCAAACGATCAACTTTCCATGCGTTACTGAAGCATTTAAATTTCAAATGGAAAAAACGTGGTTGTAATAGTTTACTACTGGATAGAGAAGATTGTGCTATGGAGGAGGGATTATTTAACAAAAATTGGGAAATATAGAAATCAAAACAGGAAGATTTATTACCTTGATGAAACGTGGGTAAACGCAGGACACACTACAAGTAAAGTATGGGTTGATGATTCTGTAACTTCATCCAGGAGGGCCTTTCTAGATGGACTGTCCACCGGATTAAAAAATCCAGCAGGTAAATACGAGTAATAGACAACAAACGGATGTTTTTCAAACCTTGGGAACAAGGTTCTAAACATTAATTCCAGGGGGCAGATAAAACATATTACAAGTAACAAAACTTTTATAACTTTCGATAAAATGCGTGGATGTTTTATTGTCATTTTCATTTGTTAGAACTTTTTTAAGCCATGTTTTTATGTGTTTTCGATATTTCAATAATTTTTTGATATAATCTTAAAATATGTCGAATATTATAAACTTAAAAAAAGTTACTAAGTTTTATATTGTGTACCGTTCCTAATATTTCTAATCATTTTAATTCATACTTTAGGCTTTATAAAGTTATAATTTGTTAATATTAATATTTGCGCGTATTTCAGGTTCCTGATCATTCATTTTTTAAAGGTTTATAACTTTAAATTAAATTGTGAAGCGCTGAGTAATCATACGACGTTCAATATTCTTTCTTTCAATATGACTAAATAATCCCAATTATAGCAATCTGATACTCATGTCTCAATGTTTTTTCGCTGAATGTGATGAAAACATTTGAAAAAGGTTCGTTTATTGAAATAAATCTACACCAGTTAGTACTTCGATTTCCAGGTAAAGGGAAAAGGCTCATTATCTGCCATATTGGCAGTGAGGATGGATTTGTTGTTGAGGGTCTGTGGTGCTTTGAGTCTAAGAAAACTGGAGATTACCACGAGGAAATGAATGGCGAATCGTTTGAACAGTGGTTTTCAAAAATTTTACCGAACTTAGAGGAAAACGCAGTAATTGTGTTGGATAATGCGCCTTATCATTCTCGAAGAATGGAGAAGGTCCCAACAACGGCTTCAAGGAAAGTTGATGTTCAAAATTGGCTCCGCTCGAAAAATATCAACTTTGAAGAAGCAATGCTGAAAGTACAATTATTAAGAATTGTCAAGGATCACAAGGCGGAATATCAAAAATACGCCATTGACGAAATGGCAGCAAGTCAAAATAAAACTGTGCTCCGTTTACCTCCATACCATTGCGAGCTCAATCCCATTGAGCTCATATGGGCAGAGGTTAAAAATTATATAGCTAAGCACAATACAACTTTTAAATTTTGTGACCTAAAAGGACTTTTCAAATAAGCACTAGAATTAATAACAGCGCAAAAATGGGAAAACTGTATTAAGCACGTGAAAGACAAAGTTGAAAAGAGAATGTGAGAACTGGACAATATTTTAGAGGAACAAGTCGAGCGATTCATTATTGACGTTGGTGCTTCAGGCAGTAGCGATGATGAAAGCTCATCAAGCTCATCTTTCCAATAAAAGATGTCGTTCACCAAATTCGGTAAGTTATAAGTAATTATAAAGCTACTGTATTTTTTAATTAATTATTGACATTTTTGAACCCATTTTGGCAAAACCTATTCAAGAATCTACTTTCTAACAATGTTCAACCATGCACATTTTTTTACGTTTTGAACGTTTTAATTTGGTTGCATATTTACCTAGAAATCAAAAAATATACTAATCAATATTCTAAAAACAATTTTAAGAGATATACGATTATTTTTAATTTAGGCTAATTTAAACGCCATTTTGAGATTATATTCGACTGTATTTCACCAAACATCAGGCGGCATCCGAAGCTGAAAATCGAAGCGAAAATTTTGAAACCCTTATGTATTTTTACATCATTATATATTTCTTACCCCACCCCCACATGATCCTATATCCATCACCAATCGTATACACATCGAATTGTGCTAATTTATTACAAAGTTACGCAAAGCAGCATCTACTATCTAAAATATGTACTGCGTGACTCTTAATACGTCCCTGCCGAATGTTACAGCGTTCGATGATCACGTGGTCTTGTTTATGTCCGGTCTATCTCTTATCTGCATATACTGTAGGTGTAAGGCACTGCGAAAATGTTTGAAGCGTGATGCGGCATTCCGATTTTTTCTGTTATTTGGCTTAATTGCACACAACGCGGGCGCAGTGGCGATTTCCCGTAATGCTCCTCAAAGTTTTTGAAAACCCGAAAAAAAAAACGGCAAAATCGTAATTAACTTTGAACATAACCTGACTTCAGAAACGACAACGTATAAATTAATCCCGTTACAAAATGGACGGGGTAGTACCCTAACCAACACAAGTAAACGTAATGTACAAAATAAAGGGGTACTACTCCATAAACTGGTTGACGAAAAAACGCCCACACACAACCAAAACCTCCAGCGGTAAGTTTTCTTTTGTATCCCATCTGACTACGTCCTTCGCCATTTTACTGTTGCTTTTCCGCTGTGATTTTGGTTGTGTGCGGGCTTTTTTTCGTCAACATCCAGATTTTGGGATATTAACGCCCCAGTTTATGGAGTAGTACCCCTTTATTTTGTACCTCACGTTTAGTTGTGTTGGTTGGGGTACTAGCCCGTCCATTTTGTTTTAACCTCCAGTAATTAACCCGTCGGGCATAGCTAATAGATCTTTTCACAAATAAATACTACAGACTACTCGGCTTCACAAAACATATACCTGCTTTCTGCAACCAACAATGCTTGTAGTTGAGTCATTCCTCCATAGCGATCATAGCGAGCAAACGTGGATTGAACTATTTGCACCCTAAAAACTATCTAGTCTGCAAGATTACATCTCTTTTTTTTTGACGTTTTTTATGTTTTTTACATAATACCCCAGCCTCAAAAGATGCTATTCTCTACTAGTCTATAATATCGTCAGTAGCTCGACCATTTCCACCGTCGACCGACGAGGCCGGCTGAGACGGAGACGGCCCAATTTTTTCGTTCATAATTATTGCACTTTGTACTCCGCCGAACTATATCGCCAATTCATTAAATTTTTTTAGGTTCGACTTTTG